GGTCCCTGCGCAAGCAGCCCCCTCAATCCGCCCCTCGCCCTGCAGCTATTTTAGAGAAAGGCAGGAGGTATTTTTAGTGCTGCCGGCTCCCGGGAGAAGCTCTGAGCCTCTGAGCCGCAGCAGCGCTGGCGCCAGAGAAACTGCCGCTGCTCTGGCTGATATTTCTTGTATAATTAAACTCAATCCATCCCGGGGGCTGGGTCTTGGCCACCAACTCAGCAAGGAGGGGAAGGAGCAGAGCCAGAGAGCTGGGGGCTGAGGGCTCTGACGGATGCTGGGAATTGCCCTGTGAGAGCTGGAAAAGCCAGGCCTGAGACTTTCGGGGGAGTTTTGCCAGGCACTGGGGAGCAGGATGGCTCCAAAAGGGGCAGGGAGCGGGATTTAACAGGAGCAGACCTCAGCAAAGGCAAAAGACCCCGTACCAGCATCATCCCGTCCCGCTTCCCTGTGGGAGATGGACTCAAAGGGGATGCCTGGGACTGGACAGACAGCACCTAAAGGCAACCTGGGAGAAAGCAGCAGGATTTGAAGTGCACCCAGTGCCTGCAGGGCAAGCCAGAAAGATCCCACCTGGTAAACAAAAGCCCAAGCTGGAGCCGGAGCCATGTAGGAAGTTTTGGGGCTGTCTGGTTAGCGAGCATCTGGTGAACACAAGCTGCGGCTGGAGGCTGACAAGCAGCAGCAAAACCCCTCCTTCTTCCCACGCCCACCGCCCAGCGTCTGTCCGGGGGCCCCAATCTGCCATCGAGGAACGGGGGGAACGACAGCCAGAGAAAACACAGCACCCACTGGGTTTTAGGGTTGGTTTTTTCCCTGTGCAAAAAGAACAGAGCATTTATTCCTGCGCTCCCTTAAATTTCAAGATACATTTCCAGCGATCCAGACACCAAGCTGGCATTCCAAGCAACAGTATATTTTATATAACTGCTTTTTTTTGTTTTTACCACTTTATAAAGCCATACAACGAACTGCGAAGAATCCGACATCTGTACAACGGGAAGACAACAGCGGAGTCACATTCACACATGGACACGGTGCGACCGAAGTCATCCTTACACGTGCGACAACATTATGGGCACAAAGATACAAAATATAACGTATTTTTTTTCCATCTATATAAATACACAGAAATGGGCGAGTCTAAAAGTTTGAAACTGTTCATTAACACTGATTAGCAAATAAATCTGTAACGTTCCCAAAGTAACAAAAACACAACATCAACAACAAAAAAAACCACCATGCATAACACGGCGGCACAGGATCCGCCAACAGAAATGTCGGGTTGCTTCCTTTTTTTCTTTTTTTTTTTCCTTTTTAAGGAAAAGAAAAAAAAATTAGTAACCCCAAACCAACCTCAAAATTTGCAAAACAAACGAACAAAATGAAACAAGCCCCTGCGGGCTCCTTTGCCGTCTGATCCTCCTGCCTGCTCCAACGTGAGGGTTGCCTTTTGTTGATGCTGCTGTCTGGGGTTTTTGGGGCAACTGGTTTCTTTACCCGCCCGACCTGCTGGGTGGGGATTTACTTTGCGCTTCGGTTCAGGCAGTTGAACTCACTGAAAAATCGATGCCGGGAGGCTGGGTTGGGTTTTTCTCCCTGCCTGGTTTGTTTTCCATGTGTGGTTTGACCAGGGGGCAGCCAGCAAATGTTGCATCCAGAGCAGCCCCAAACTTTGCTCAATTTACCTGCTCAAACCCATGAGTCCCCATCTCCACTGGTGACGGGGGGGCTGGCAAAGACCGTGAGATGGCTGCATCCCATCAGCAGATGATGACACAGATCACCCCCCAAAACACCTCCCGGGGCGGCAGAGCCAAAGGCAGCCCCGTTGAATGGGACCCCCACATTTTGCCCATTGCAGGCATTACTGTTTGGGACAGGCAGCAAACGACCCCCCGGGAAGCATTTCCCAACAGACAGCAACATCGACAGCAAAGGGAGGACGGGTGGGAAGGGGCTTCTCCAAAGAACAAACCGACACAGAAAGGGCACATACAATAAATTTACACACGCAAAAAAAAAAAATATATATATATATGTGGGGAAAAGTGCGTTTTTAAGGATATCTTTGGCAAGAATATATGCAGTTCTTTGTGCAGGAAGGAGGGATGTGTTTGTGTGTGTGTTTGTGTGAGAGAGAGAGAGATACCATCCGGCTGCTGACAACGGCAGTGTGATTACAAGAAAACATATGCTGGGCTTAACTCACGCAAGCTCGAATCTCAAATACCATGACTGCATTTAAAAACCAAAGAAAAAAAAAAACAAAGAGTCTTTTCTGTCCCTTTCGTAAAGAAAAATATCAACATTAGGTCCCCTCCAGCCCCAGGAGCTGGGTAATCCTCAAAGCTGGCTGATGGTCTCTCCCGGGGACAGAAAGGGTAGTTGCACCTAAAAATGTAACTTAAAAAAAGGAGATAAAAGGAAAAAAAAAAGTGCCTTTAAAAGGGAGCTGACAAACACCCAGCTACATCCTTGGAAGGTGATTAGCTCTGTGTTAAAAAAATAATATAATCATTGAACAATTTTGTTAGTGTTTGAGATTTGGATACGGTCTAAATCTTCAGCTAGTGGGTTAGTGGGGAAGCTGTGAGTGGCCCAGGGCCTGAAGCAGGCGTGATGCTATCAGCAGGTATCTGCTGGGATCGGCTTCTACGTGACATCTCCAGGGTGCTTAGATCTGCTTCGTTTGTATGGGGAGAAAAAGAGGAATAGGAGTTTCAAGCACCGGTTTCCGAGGCAGCAGATTAAAATAAAATTACATTATTATCATCTCTTTTCTTAGCAGTGAGAAAACCAAGTCTGAAAAATAGAGGCTTTCAAAAATATATCTTTATATATCTATAAACACAGTGTTTTCTCTAATCGGTGAATGGCAGGGTGAGGAGATTACGGGTGAGATCGTCTCTCATCTCGCTTGAATTTCGCAGAAGGAGGGAATCGCTTTTTGGAAACATCAAAAATGAAAAGGTCTCCGCATCCGTGCGGCCAGGGAGCCGGGGAGGGGGAAAGCCCCCCCAGAGCCCCCTGTCCCACCGCCGTCTCACAACCAACGCCTCACTATGCATCCTTTCACGCTCGCTTCAGTACATCAGTACAGCCTACGGCCGTGCCAGCCCCCTCCGGGCGCCCACGCCGCCCGCTCCCCCACGCACGCACACGCACGCACACACACATGCACACCGGTCACACGCACGCCGCCCCGACACGGGGGGGACCCCCACGCCTCTTCCCCCATCCGTATTTTCCCTTGCTCTGGATTTTCTTTTAACGTGCAGATGTTTCCCCGGGGCAGGGGAAGGGAGGGGGGGCAGATATAATGGGGGAGATATGATGCGCGGAAAGCAATATGGCAAAAATAAATATTTTTGGAGTGTAAATTTAACCTTTTTTTCCTCCTTAAAATTTCATTAGCTTACAGTATTTCATCAGTATAGCTCGTATATATATTATAGCTATCAAGGCAAAGGCCGTCCAAGGGAGGCAAGCTTTCCGGGGGGGCTGCAGTGCTATGTTTCTAATTTTTGCCCCCAATAAACTATATCTGGGCCACTTTGCACTGAAAACTTCTCCCAAAAGGCTCTCAGTGGGATACTTGCAGCAGAGGGTTCAGCAGCACGTGTGACCGAAGCACCCTCTGCCTGCCCCCAGCACCGCGGGGCTGGGACCTCCGCCTGCTGCTCCCCAACCACGACCCTCCCCGGCCGTGGTGGCACAGGAGCCCTTCACCCCTCTCGCCCCCTGAAGCAAAGGGAAAAGCCAACAGCACCGAAACCACTGCAAAACTACGGTGCACTCGGGGGGTGCGAGCCTCCAGCCAGGCAGTTTTGGGGGTACGCACGTGCTGAGCAGGGTGGCTCTCAGAGGACCTGTTACCTCCCCACCGAGCCAAAGTTGCCCAGCGACTGCAGGTCCTTTCCTTTTTTCTTTTCTTTTTTTTTTTTTTTTATTCTTCCTTCTTTTTCTTTTTAACGTGGCCTCCAAAATAAAAGGAGAAAAAAGCGCCTGAGTTACTTGTAGTCATTCGCCTTTCGTGCAACTTGAACGTCCATGCAATTTAAAAACCGCTTGCGCATCTCTGAAGAGTGAGATAGGGGTAGCCATGGGTCCGCTGCTTTGCACAGGGAACCCACCTGTGCCAGCATCCGCTATTATTATAATTATTATTATTATTACAATGTTTTTCTTTCCTTTCTGTTTTTTCTTTGTGTTAAGAGAACGTATGAGAGGCCGCAGGAGAAAATTGCCAAAGAGGACTAGTGATGGGAGGGAAAAGGGGAAGACAGGAGAGGATGCGACTTTCTGCATCCTCCCAGGAGGTTCCCAGGCAGCATCTGCCTTCCCCAGGCGCGGGGCAGCAGGAGCCCCCCACACCTCTCCGTGGGCTGGGGGGCAAAAGCACCCCCGGGGAGGTGGGGAAATGCCATGAACGCCCTCTCCGGGTGGACTCACAGAGGCTCACCTGTGACTGGCACTGGGCTCTGGGTCAGCAACAGAGGTCAGCCCACGGCCGAGCTCCCCGGGGACGGGAGGGCTCGGGACCAAGCCCCCTCGCACCCCCAGCAAGTCGCCAGGTGGCCAGCAGGTTTTGGGAGAAGTGCGGGGGCTGGTGAGGACCCTCCGCTGCAGCTGGGCAAGGGAAGGTTGCCGAGGGCATCTCCTCCGGTGTCCTGCAGACCCAGCTCACGTTGTTATCTCCTACGGGTTGTTTCAAACATGCAGCAGATGTTCATCAATGGAGCTGCTGGGATGGAGCTTCTTCCATGGGTTTTGCCGGTTGTCTCCTTTTTTCCAGATGGAAAACACCAGTCATGGTCCCACGTTCGGTCCCAAGTGGATGTCACCACTTGGGACCGTGATGCCAAAAGCTGGGAACACGCCTCTTGCTGCCACCTTCGCTTTGGTCACCTTCCCTGTACTGGGACATGCATCCTGTCTGGCGTGACTTTGTGGCTCTCTTATATAGGTGCGTGGTTTTGGTTCCTCTATGTGTGTGTTTGGCTTGTGTTGAGTTTTTAGGGGTTTCATTGGGGGTTTTTTTGTTGTATGCTGTTTTCCTCCAAAATTCCAACCCTTTTCCCCCCCGATTCACTTCCCTCTCCCACAATGCACTTCCTCTCACTCCTTCTCGGATCAGCTCCAAGTCCTTCTCCAAAATTCAAGAATCACCCACAAGTGCCGGCTCATCTTTTCTGGCCGGAGCCAAGCATGACTCTGGAGACAAAGTTGACGATGGCTGCAGCCGGCTGATCCGGGTCCAGCTCGGCAAAGAGGTGGCAGATGTTGTCTGTGGTGCTCCCTTGCTTCCTGGCCACGAAGCCGAAGAGCCTGGGTGAAGAGAAGGCAAGAGGGTCAGCGAGGTTTGCCAGGGTTGCTCACCCAAGGAACACCACCGCCCTCTTCCAGCACAGTCTTGTCCACCTTGCTCTCTTCAACATCCACCTTGCACAACACAGAAGGAGACATCCCAAACCAGCCTGCGTGAAGACCCACCTACTCTTTCCTTCGTTGCAGCTTCTTCGAAGGCAGCACTGCGTTTCCATTATCTCTTGGCAAAACCCCCCTTGCTCTGACCATTTCTGCCACCCTCCCCTAGACCGTCCCCAAGAAGGGACCTTCCAGATGATCACAGCATTGCCTTGGTTTGGGTGATGACCCTTGGAACCACAGAGGTGTGATGGGCTGGCCATTGGGGTAAATCTTGTATGAGAAGAAGGCCATGTGGGGACACAGGGAGCTGGGTGAGACCATGCGGTTATTTCTGTCTGTCTCTCCCCTGATGTATAAAATGTCCCCTTTTTTTTTTTTTAATTTTAATTAGAACGTGCAAACTCAAGTTATAAATACGGGGGAACAGAATGTGAGACAGGCCCAGGCCATGGCATTTCTAATTGGAGAGGGGAAATATCCCAGCAGCTGGACATTCTAATAAAAACCCCTTTGCTAACACAATGGCTAAAATTAGTGGGAATTGGCTCCTGGAAATGGGCTCAGCCAGCAGCTCTATGCTCCCGTGGGTTACAACAGGGAGGACAGGAGGAAAGGAAAGAGCCGGCCAGTGGCTCACACACCATCAGCATAACCCCCAGCTCTGCTCCATGACCTGGCTCCCGCTGACTCCACTGGGAGAGTTTCCAGTAAGGCCAGTTCAGCAAAGGCCATGCCAGGAATTTGGGGCTGAAAGATGCTTCCTGAGTCCCCAGGACCATGGTCTCATGCTTGGGTGAAATGTTCCTGCAGTGAGGAGCTGAGCCCATCTCAGGCTGCCCTGCATGGGGCATCTCCCAACCAATGCTCAAACACGCCAACAGCAGCTGGGAGGAATCAAGCACAGAAAGTACTTACTTGGCTGGGCCACTGCCATCAGTTTTAGTCCACCTACAAGGAGAAGAGGAGGTGTGAGGGATGGTGCCTCCTGCACCCCACAGAGAGACAGGGCCATGATGGGGGCCACATCAATGCTGGAGGGCCAGCCTGGCTTTGCACAGGCTTGGCTCTATGGAAGAAAACCTTGATGTGCCTCTCCCCCAGCATGAAGATACTTGGAGACACCAAGAAGTCACCAGGAGAAGCTGGGGTTGCCCCACAGTATCCAAGGGGACCCTCCATCCCCGCCCTCTGCAGCAGCAAGAGGGACGGACCAAGCAAAGACCCTGCTCCAAGCAGCCCAGGAGCCTGGGGGCGGGAAAGGGGCAGGGGACGTGTTCACCCTGGGTTAGGGCACTCACTTTCGTTCCTGGGGGTCCAGGTCGCAGAAAGTGACGGTGTTGAGGGGGTAGTGTCGTCGGAAGAACAATCTGAAACACAAGGCCGGGAGCGTCAGGGACAGGGAGCCCCCACCTCTGCCCCACCACAGCCCAGCCCCACCAGCATGGAGGACACTCCCAAAGGTCTCCCCTAGGATGCTCCAGGAGTCAAGGACAAAGCCCAGCCCTGCCCATGACCAGGCTCATGCCACCCCAGGGATGTCCTTCACCAACACGCTCCCTGGATCACAGCCCCATTGGCTTTGGGGACCCAGAGACATGGCCATGGGGGCTCTTACTTCCTCTGGTTGTCGGTCAAGGTGATGCCTTGTGCGGAGACTTTGAAGTGGACGATGGTCGCAGTGGGCGTGGGGTCGGCCACCAGCGTCTCGGCAACGGCCTTTGCAATGGCCTGGGGACCCGTCAGAGACTCCATCTCCACCGAATTGATGAAGAGGACATTGCAGGCTGGAAAGGGAGACAGCAGGCATGGGGTCAGCCACTGCTCCAGGCCACATTCACCCCATGGCAGCCCCTCTCTACTCACCTGCACCCTGTTTGAGGAGGTCCGTGGCCGAGTTGGTGGCCGACACGGCATCTTTCTTTTCCTCCATGGGATCTAGAAGAGACAGGGTGTTATTGCTGCTCCCTGCTTGGAAACCTACCCTGTCCCAGGCAGGCTGTGGGGGTGAATGCACTCCCTTCTGGCCCTGGCTCTTACCTCGGTCAGGAATGACCAGCTTGCAGGGCAGGGCCAAGGGCATGATGGAGTGCTGGTACACCAGAGCCGAGAGGCAGCCTGGGGAGAGAGGGGAGATGGTCAGCACAGGGCTGGGGACACATCTTTCCCCAGTGTTAGGTCATTGTTGCTCCAGGTGGATGGGAACATGCTTTTTGGTGGGTTTCTTCACAGTGGTCCTAATGCCAGACATGGCATTTCCTCTTGCTGAAACCACTGTGCCCATGGAGGGCTCAGGGAGGGGGCAGAGATGCCAGGTCCACCTTAGGAACAACGAATGGGGCAGAGGTCCTCATGCAGTGCCTCAGAGCACATTAGCCATGGGATAACTGGAGAGCCCCTGCCCTCCATCCTGCCCAGCAGCATCATTTGTCCTACACGTGTGTGCAGGAAGGTACATACCTATGCACATTTGTGTGCAATCATGAGCGTGCGTGACCCCAGAGGCTCCAAATGCCCACAGGATTCAGTTATGCAGGGACAAGAGGCAGTAAGAGAGGTGGGGGCTCTCCCAGATAGTCTGCTTTGATAGCCCAGCAAAGGCAAGGCTCTCCCAACCCAACCCCGCATGTGGGAAGGACGCTGGGGACACTTACCAAAATTGGGCTCGTTGGGGCATCCTTTTAGTTTCACACCCCGTGGGCTGGTCTCGATGAGGAAGTGCCTCACCAGCTCGTTGGTGATGTCTCCTGGGAAGAGATGGGATGTTCTCACATCAGAGCCACCCCACTCCTCCTCCCACCCTGCAGTCCCATGTGGAAACCAGTGCTCCAGCTCGAGGGAGGGGTCCCTGCCACTCCGCACACCCTCCTCGAATCCGGCCCTTTGTACAGGGTCGGCCTCAAGCCAGGCTCCCCCATGGTGTTGGTGGGCCAGGGAGGCTGTGCCCATTTCACCATGCCAAAGCCCAAGATGCAGATGCCCCTGAGCCCTCCGCAGCACAGGGCAGAGGGTGTCTGGTGCTTCCCTGTGCCCTGGGAGGGGAGAGCTGGGTGGGAGGGATCCTGCCACATCAGCACATACCCAAGGGCACGCCTGGCTCAGCGGATCTGGCTGCCCGCTCACCCCAACCGAAGGATGGAAAGCATCTCAGCGTGGGATGGAGGACACACAATACCTTTCTTGTTCTGCTGCATGACCGTGGGAGGTGGAGAAGCTACTTTCATGGCAAGGCCGTAAGCTCCCCGGAAGGAGTGGCTGTCTCGGATGATGAAAGCCCCTGGCTCCCTGTCCTTCAGCAGCGTGATGGCTGCAGGAGAGAATGGCAGACCTCAGAGCTGGCACAGTGAGAGCTGGCAAGCCCTCCAAAACCAGCAGATGTGGGTTGGGATGGGACACCCCAGCTCTGTGGCCTCACAGCCAGGCACCATGACGTTACCACCCCCCCTGCACATCTGGACAGGGGTCTTGAGTGGGTCTGCAGCCAGGCAGGATCTCATCTCCCCCCCGCCTCCACTGCCTTTGCATGGGCATCTCAGAGCATCCATTCCAACTCAGCCCAGCTCTGAGCAACAGAGCACTGAAGAGCAGGGAGGGACCAGGGCCCAAATCCAGGAGTCGGACTCGATGATCCTTGTGGGTCCCTTCCAACTCAGGATATTCTATGATTCTGTGAAATGCTGGGACCTTGGCCCTGAAGGCACCTTGCCCCCTCCTTGTTCAACTCTCTTATTTTAGCCATGTCTCCAAGACCCCTCTGAGCTCTCTCAACTCAAGCTCTGGGTGCTTTGCACCCCAAACTGCACAGATCCACTGCACGCTGTGGGGACCAGTGTTCCTCCACCAAGGGGAAGGTTTGGGGAGCCCACATCATGCAAGTTGAGCTGGGCTTCAACCCCCCTCTGCCATGGTCTGAGCATCCGTCATCCACCTTCACTCCCAATCCAGCCCCTAAGGGAAATCCTCACTAATCCCTGTGATCCTAGATATGCCCCAATTCCCAACCGTAGCTCACTTGACTGTATCCTTTGCCCTGTGCCATCTACCCACCCTGCTCCCTGGAGATCTCCGGTTTGTACCAGTACTTGGAAGTGTCCTGCACAAACTTGACGTTGGCACGAGTCTCGGGGCTGATGTCTGCAAGGAAGGAACGAGGAGAAAACAAGAAACAAGTTAAAAGATGCTGTATCTAAAATTCCACATGAGTTTTTAGCAAATCTGGCTAAAACATTAACACCTCCACGTCTTCTCAGCCCCATCACATTGCATGAACCTCAAACCAATCCTCCACACCCAGGCAGGCTGATCATCCTGGAGCTTATGGGGCATCTAAAGCTAAACCCAGACACAAGGGCCCTCAAAGGGCTGTGCATGGGACGAGCCTCCCTGCCACACAGGCAGAGATGAAATGGGAATTCATCATTTAAAATGGAGCTGGCCAGGTGAAATGAAAGCTGTCAGAATAAAGAGATATGTCCAGGGGGTGGCGGGGAGATCCCCTGACTTCAGAGGACCTTCACTGTTCTCTAATGTTCAAGATTTGGCTCATCCACCACAAAAATAAACTCCTTCCCTTATCTCTGCTCCATGCAGAGGAACTGGACAGGTTGACCTACCCTTGGAAACGCAGCCCCCAGCCCCAGCCCTGCCCTGCCTCCCTTGGTGCCCATCAGTGGTATGGCCCCAATGGGAGCTGGTCCTCTGGACATGAAGCCACCGCTTTGCTCGGGCAACGTTCCCAACCACCTGCTTTCCAAAAACAACTGAGCAAACAACCTGGCAGGGCTGCATAGCATCTCTGCTGGAGACGTGTTATCAGCCCTGTGCAATCCCGTCACCTTCAGAGAGGCGGGGGGCTTGGTCCCCTCCCCAGCCTGCTTACTAATTGTTGTTTTCTAATTGCTTGCGCTTCCCGGCTGGGAAATGTCCCCAGCCACAGCGAGTCACGGGGCCGGGGCAGGCGCCAGCGTGCCCACAAAGGGCTGCCCTCGCGGCAGCGAAACCTGCCCGGCAGCCAGAGCCACCGCTGCCCCACGGCTTTATTTCCCTCGTCCTATCGGCCCGATCTTGGCGTCACCGAGGTGTCCCGTAACGGGAGCCAGCGAAGGCGTTCCAGGCGCGGCGGCACCCAGGACAGGGCACACCATTTGAAACGAGAAGGCAGCACTGCAGCGGGGTCTCAGCAGGGTAAAACCCGCTGGGAGCAGGGCCGGGAGGTCAGCGCATCCCCACGGCAGAGAAAAGCCGCCTCTGGGTGCTTTGATCTCCCCGTACACAATTCTGGGTGCTGTTTACACCAGCGATGCTGGGTCAGTGCTTTTCCTGTTTGGATTTACCAGAGAGCGCAGGAAATGGCAGTGCCGCCAGTCTGCGGATGGGCAGGAGGGGTAAATCAGGACGCGGCTGCAATCGCTTCCCCAACAGCTGGCAAGGAGTAGGAGGGGAAAGCCCTGGGCAGGGCAGGGGGACATGGGGACCTCCAACAGCACCCCTTACCTGGCATGGAGAACTTGGAGAAGTCCGGTAGGGTGTGGGAGAAGGCAACGGTGCTCCCACCGCTGGGGCTGGACATGCCACTGGAGAGGGGCGAGGACGCCTTGCCGTTGATGGTGGCATAGTTGGGCAGGCTGTTGGAGCGGTCCCCAGCCGACATCCGCCGCTTCTCGGGCAGTGCGGGCTGCGGTGTGGGGCTGCCCTGGTGGTAGGCAGCCGAGTCCGGGGAGGAGGAATGCGGCGTGCTCGTGCCAGGATAGTACGCCGGTGAGACAGGGAAGGATGGCGTGGAGGGAGGCTGGTAGCCAGAGGAGCTGCTCTGCCGAGACAGCGTTGGGCGCCTCTCCTCCGGGCTGGGGTACCCATACAGAGGGCTGCCAGGGGGGACAGCCGCTGCAACTTGATGCCTGGCCAGGCTGGGGCTCCCCGGCGGGGCCACCAAGTTGCTGTGGGCCACCGTGGAGTGCCTGCCCAGCCCGGGGCTGCCGGGAGCACCGCTCACGCTGGGGTTGACAGCTCTTCGCCCGAAGCCAGGGCTCGGCGGCGTGTTGGTAGCCACTGTCCGGTGCAGGGTGCGGGGGCTCCCCGGCAGGACGTGGACCCCCACCACATTGACCTGCGGCTGTGGCCGAGCCTGGGGGTCTGGCTGAAGGCCAGCTCGGCCATCGGGGTAATCAGGGCTGGCATGCACCGAGCCTGGAACCCCACCTTGGACCATTGCAAAGGAGGATGGAGACGAGTTTTGGTAGCTGCTGTGAGCAGAGGGCATCTGTGAGCTGACAGGCGACCGGTAAACAGGCTCAGCCGAGGCGTGGGGAGGTGTAACTGTGCCGTGGGGGCTGCCCTCCGACGGGTAGCTTCGAAGGGACACCCTGAGGAGAGATGAGAAGGAGGATTCAGCTCCATCCCTTGTTCCTGCTGCTGGCTGGCACCCTCCTGTGAGTGGTGCACAGGGAAACTGAGGCATGGTGCCAGCGAGCTGCTCGGTTGCTCAGCGGCAAGAGTGGGATGGGTCCTGCCAGCTGCATGAAAGCAACTGGAGGCAGCTTTAGTTCCCCCATGCATCCCAGTTCCCTCTCAAAATATGACTTTCTGGGAGACAGAGACTTTTTCCAGCTCCTCTCCCAGCAAAACGCACGGTTCATTCCTCCCTGCCAGCCTCGCCAGGTGAGCTGGTGCAGGACACCCCATGGGCAGGGTGGAGAGGGGACAGGGACAATGGCTCCATCACACCATGGGGCACCGATGCTCAGCCCAACCCAGGGCTAGAGGTTAGCACAGATCCCATTACCCCTTCTGCCCTGAGGGCCAGGTTCCCAGAGACATGCTGCCGAGGACCAGTGACCACCAGCGACCACCAGTGCCCCAGCTTTGTGTCCTCAGGCCAGTGAGCCGCATGGTAAGCCAGGACCCCTAAACCCTGCGTGGAGAGACAGGGGTCCTTGCAAAGGCAATTCAAAGTGGGACCAAGCCTGTGCACCACGCAAGGTTCAGCCCTGGCCCCACCAGCCCCCGGGACCTGCACCCACTGCCTTACCCGTCCACGCTATGAATGGGGCTGCTGGTGGAGATGGGGCTGGGGGCAGTGAAGGAGTTGGCGAAGGTGCCATTCCTGGCGGGCACCTCCGGGCCCCCGGGCTGGGTGGCGGGCAGGGTCCCTCCCCTGCCTATCGTGGCTGTGCGGGCCACCGACTCGACGTAGCTCCTGGGCTCTGCAGCAAAAGAGAAGGGGAAACAGATGAGCCCACAGCTCCCATGGGAAGGGGGCCATGCCCTTTCCAGCATCCCCGTTTCAGCCAGTGAAGGTGCTTGAGCTGAGCTCCTCCAGCTACACTTTTCCCCCATACCTGTTCCCCCAGGGGTTGCGCAAAAACACATCTGGCTCATCTGGGCCTTTAGGTTGCTCCAGCGGATGCTGAAGACCCGGCCAGGGCACAGGGAAGGGGTTTGTGCCCACACCTTTCCCCGAGGGGACCAGAGCACATGGGACCGTGGTCCCTTCCCATGCCATGGCCCCTCCACCCTGCTCTGAGTCAGCGTCCCTCCCCACCCAGGACGCCACACAGCACATGTCGTGCTCCCTGCTCATCCCCAGCCCCTAAAAATAGAGCCGGTGACTCTGTCCAGCCTGCGCTGACTCACGAGGGACTGATGACGATGCCCAGCGGTCCCTGCCCCGCGCCGCCCACCTCTGCCAGCCATCTCCAGCAGCAGACCAGAGAGCAGCTCCAGCTATTTCCACTGCAGTATCCAACACTCTCACTCCCAGCCCGGCTTGAAACCGGAGCCCACAAGCACAACCAAGAAAAGCAATTTTCCTTTGGAGCCGCCGAGCTGTCCCGTGCCAGGAGCAGCGAGCTGGGCTGGCCGTCACCAGCCAAGGCAGCCGCCAGACCCAGCCCTCCCTCCTCCCTTTTCCCCTGCCTCCTGCTCCATCCAGGCTGATCCCCATCCCTATGATAGCCCCCACAGCCCCAACCCCCCAAAAGCTGTGCTGGATGAAAGGGCTGCAGCTTCACCCCGTGCCCCCACAGCCGTGTCACACCTCGGTTGGCAAGTGCCACCCACTGCCTCCGTGCTGGGGCACAACACCCCAAGCGAGACCCACTGGCGTCAAACGCTATGGGCCGGGCAACCTTGCAGGTCTCCGGCTCCAGGCTGGCCGTGCCCCAGGCAGCTCTGCAGTAGTAATTAGCATGACAAACATTATTATTATTATTAGTCATAACAGCTGGGCTCTGGCTAAGCCTGCAGGCAAGCCGGCCTGCTCGCAGTCAGCAACACCAATGCACAGCTCCATGTTCAGTGCCGGACCAAGGGGTTGCAAGGAAAAAGCCTGTCACAGGTTCCCCTTCTTTCCCCCCAGTGTCTCCATGACCTGTCTGCCTGAAGACAGGGGAGGAGTCGTCCATCTCTCGGGCTGATCTCCCTGCCCAGCCCTGCTCAACCACCCCAGGAAAGATCTGAGCCAAAAGCAGACCGAGGACCTCAACACGGGCTGGGTACCAGCATCCGAGGCAGGACACGTGGCTCCAAGCGACAGGGATGAGGCACTGCCCAGGGGGACGCCCAGGGCAGCTGCAAGAAACTCATCGCTGCTTAGGTAATTAAATTAATTTCACAGCTACTCGCTTTTCTCCCCCCAGCTCCCCACCCCAGACTAAAATTAGCCAGACAGTACATATGAGTCAGCCTGCAAGAGGTTAAGGCTGCAAAAATGCCAGCCCCTCCTGCAAAGGTGGGGGCTGAAGCCAGGCAGGAGCCGGGGGCTCGGGGAGGGGGGACAGCTCACGGGGGAGCGCGTCTGCAAGCATACATGTGCCACAGCGAGGTGTGTGACCGTTGAGTCATTTGGTTCAATATGGGAAAAAAAGAAAGAAAAAAAAACTGGGAAGTTTCAGGCAGGGTTTTTTTAGGTTGAAAAAATCAGATCTTGCCTCCTAGTGTTTTCTTGGAAGAGGCTCTGGAGACGGGAAGATGGTGGGAGAATAGAGAGGCCTTGAGTCACCAGGGGCAGGGCAGTCGTTCGGGAAGCCCGAATCCGAGCAGGGCTGTGCTCCAGCCAGAAATCCCCAGCACTGTGACTGTGCCGGGCTGCTTTAAAGCCTCCTCAGAGGTGGCAGCCAGGCCCTGAGCTCCCGCGCTGCCAGAGCATCCCCCAGTCCCAGGAGCAGCTGAGCAGAGCCCAGTGGAGCAGGGACCCTCGTGGACCATGTGGCTGGGTGCAGAGGCCAAAACATCTGTCCCTGCTCAGGACTGCAGATTCAACCCCCCCCAAAACCATCATGTTATCCAAAAGGAAGAAGGACAAAAGCAGGGCAAGAGGCTGGTGGTAGCCGCTCAGCCCAACCAGCACGGGGTCACCAGACATCCTTTAATGTACCCAAGAAGCCATCACTGAAAAATCAGCTCTGGAAACAGAATATTTTCTTCAAGCAAACACTTTCTCCAATATTACACAACATTCAGGTTTGGGTTATGTACATTTTGAGGAACTCCAGGGGAGAAATGCTGACCACTCCCAGGGCTGCAGGAAGCATCGCAAACTCACCAAGAAGACACATCCTCTCCCCAAAACCCATCTTGAACTCATAGTTCCCCATCCGGGCCCCGAGGGCCCAAAGTTTCATTAAAGAAGAAAGCAAAACCACCCCACTGTTAGATAGCAGGCAGCACTCCAGGGAATTGCAGCCGCTCCCAAAGCCTCCAGCTCCCCGGAAGATGTGCCACCCCGGAGCCCGCAGTGCCCCCACTACCAGCAGAGCCACCCCCCAGCTGGCATCCCAGCTCAGACCCATCCTCAGCATCCCAGGAGAGGTGCAGCCCAGGGATGGGAGAGGTGGGGGGAATTTGGGCAGTCTCCCGGCCAGCGGAGGATGCGCTCCAGCTGCCGGCACTGTGCCACTGTCCGGCCAGCTGAGCCGGCAGCACGCTGGTGGCCTCTGCGCCTGGTGACCTTTTGTGCTGCACTTTGGTTTATTTTCACTCCGAACGGCAGCGGCAAAGCCAGAAGGGGAAGGCAGGAACCCAAAACAGGGGCTGCTGCTCCCAGCCCCCAACCAGGCTCATCTGAAGCTGGCTGTGACGTGCCAGCATCCCTGGCGTGCCACCGGCAGGGATGCCACGCACTGAAAAAGAGCTCTCAGCCCCCATGGATGATCACCACCCGACATGACAGACCTCCAGCTCCAATTTGGACATTGGGGAGCCAACCACAACACAAGAAGGCACGATGTTCCCTTCCTCAAAAGGGAGCGGTACCAGCAAGACTCAGGCTCCTACATCCCTGGGGGCCAGTGCAAGGGAAGGCTGCTGGCGCAGACAGCCAGAGCCTGCTCTGAGCAACAACCTCAATAGTGGGGATGAGCAGGGAAGAGAGAGACAGAGAAAGAAAAGCCTTTCTTACCTTCTTCAGAGCCACCGCCCGCCTCCCCTTCTAACTCTGAGAGACGGAGGGGCAGGGGAGCGATGGGAGCAGGGACAGGAGGAAGAAGGGAGGTGCGAGACAGAAAGAAAGAGAAATCCGAGTTAAGCAGCTTTGCCTTACTCAGGCAGGGGCACACAGAGCGCGAAGGAGAGCCCCACACCTCCCCAACACTGCGCCCCAAACTGGGCCCCTGGCCTTGGACACCTCAGGGTCCACCTGGGCATCCCAGAGATGATGTCCAAACCCAAGTGGCTGGTTTCAGGTAGGGAAGAGGGAACAGTGGGAAGCCACCATGAAGGGCTGCTCCAGGAAACCCAGCAAGCACCAAAAAAGCATCAGCTCGCCCTTGGGGGCAGAGCGAGAAGGGTCTTGCTGGGTGGGCTCAGCCAAGCCATGTCCCCCAGGGTTTTGAGGGAGTTACACTCAGCCCTGAGATGGCCCAGGAAGGGGCCCCGGGTGCTGGGGACCAGCAAGGTCTGGCTTGGCAGGCTGCTCTGGGACATGTTCCCAGGGCAGCGGGGCCTTTGCACCCAGGGACCACTCCCTAGGACAGAGAGGGATCTGGATACTGTTCCAGCTGACAGACTCGGCTCCTGGAGAGCAAACCCTCTCCGGCTGTGCTGGGGAGACGAAGGGATGGAGGGGGTGAGGGAGGGAGGAGTATGGGGCTGGGGAGGAGGCAGGACTCCAGGGTTTCCCAGCCTCCACCACCAGAGACCCTGCTGGGCTGAGCCCCCCAGGGCAGCACCAACATCCCCCACCCTCACATAGTCACAGAGTCCCCACGGGATGTGACAAGGACCCCAGGGCTACCTGGCCCCAAAAGGGAGGCAGAAGTGCTTTCTCCAGCCAGAGGACCCTTCCAGGCATATCCTCACAGACGCCCCCCCCCAAAAAAACATCTGCAGCCCCTGTGCCCACACTCACCTCCCACTGGATGCAGCAGGATCTCGGCTGGGTTGTGGGGTTTCAGCCCCAGTGCTGAGAGCGGGGTCTTGGCCAGGCCGGGGGGAGAACGCACTGTTGGCACGGGGGACACAGGAGAGTTAGTGGAGGGATGGGAGGTGAAGCTTCAGAAAGGCTGGAGAGGTTCAGAGCCCCCATGACCCATCCCACCCACCAGCTGCCATCGGGGGCTGCCAGGAAGAGCCCTTGTGTGAAGCAGCACCCCGGGGAAGGGCACCGATATCCCTCTCCATTTAGGGATGCACACAGGGCAGGAGGTGCCTGGGAACAAGCAGTCTGCCCCATTACAGGGCTGGCAGGACGAAGAAAGGTGGCAATCCCCACCAGGGCAGGCCCAGACCCCATCTCCCAGCAGCATCTCCACGAGGGAATGGTCCCACCATAGGCATGAAGCCTCTTTCATTGCCCCTGTGCGAGCAGCTGCCCCCCAACCCAGTGCTCCCAAACCTTAACCCGCCTCTGCCGATCCCCACGTCTGGCTGAGCTGGGACTGGGCTGTCCCGGAGCAGCTCATCACCCCCACGAAAGGGGCAGCAAGACTGCCAAAAACCCTCTCACCCTCCAGACCAGCTCAGTGGGTGGGTGAGGATGTTCACACAGAGCATGTTCCCTGAGGGGTAGCAATGCAAACATGAGGTTTGTACCCCTGTGCCCATACGTACATACCAGGAGAAGCTGTGTATGTATGTATGGCTATGATACGGATGCACCAGCAGGGTTTCATGGGGCAGGACGGACCTCCCCAAGCCAACTGCACCTCCTCTCCCCTCCTGCCCCCAGTGATGCTGACCCATCTCCCTGATGCTGCATCACCCTGGGAGAGACCTCCAGGTCTCATCTCCAGCAAAAGGGACTGGAGGGCACATCCTTCCATCAGCATTTGAACATCCCCGACTGGCAGCATGGGCACGGGGCCCACGGCGAGGCCGGGAGGCGGTGGGTGGTGGGTGCTCCAGAGGAAAGCCAGACCCTCGCCCCAAGGCCAGGTCCCCCGGGAAGCCTGGGGCTGGAGCAGCCGAGTCCCTGGGAAACCGAGATAGCAGTGCCTGCAAGGCGCAGTGTCAGCTCGCACCTCTGTTGGCTGAGGAGTGGCAGGGTCCTCCCGGGGCCAGGAATTCCCCTGGGACCGCCATCTCCCCACGGAGGGCAAGCTCTCCTGCAATCCCCGTGGGGGGCACTTTGGCAAAGCTTACAAACTGCATCATCAAACCTCCCAGGCCTCCCCAGCTGGCACTGGCTAGAAGCACTGCCTCCGGGCCACGTCCCCGGTCCCCAGCCACGCTGTTCCCGTCACCTCTGCAAGTGACTCATCCCCCAAGACCAGCCACTGTTCCACTGCCAAGGAGCTGCTGCCCCGGGGACAAGGTCTCTGGGTCCCCCAGAACAACGGGGCCATTTCTGAGCTGCCAAACGCCCTGGGGATGCTCCCACACTCCAGCCACTGCATCCCACCAGACAGGGCTCAAACGTCAGCAGGTTGCAGGGGAGGAACAGCAACATCACAGGAGGAAACAGCCTTGAGCCCCATGGGCTGAGCTACGGGGGGCAGGCGGCCCCATTGTGACCAGGACGTGGCATCAGGGGGGGCTGCACCCAGCCCAAGCATCCCCAGCCCTAGAGCATCCCTCAGCATCCAGCCTACAAAACTGGGTTTGGGGGAGTAGGGGAGCGGCTGCCATCTTTTTGATGGGTTTCCCAGTTGACTGGCTGCTCCATTGCACTGGTCCAAGCCCAAGTCGTGCTATGCCGACATGAGGCTGCTCATTGGGGTTTGTCGCTCAAGCTGGTCACACAAACCCGGTCCACACAAACACACCACAACTGCACAGTTAGGGTTAGTCAGAAAGGAGGCATGCTGTGCCAGAGGAGCAGAAACAAGATGCACGCAAAGGGCTGGCATCTCCCAGCCTTTTCCCCCTCCTGTCCTGGAAACAGCGAGCGAGAAGTGGCACAGCATGCAAGGGTCTGCCCTGAGCCTCCTCCCCATCTTCAATCCCTCCTGCCTCCCCATGGCTCGCCTGCTACCACAGCCTCGCTGCCCTTCTTGCCATGCCGGTAGGAAAGATGGGGAAGTGCAGTACTGGGATGGGGTGAAAGGATGCTGTCTTTTGGACCCTGCCTTTCTCCTTATCCTGCCTTGGGATCCTATCCAAGAAATGCCCCAGTGAGTGGAGAGCGGGAAAGAGCCAACAGGAGGGTGCCGAGCATGGGATGCTGATGGCAGTGGGATGCTGATGGCAGCGGGATGCTGATGGCAGCATGGAGTAGTGGGATGTGGAGGACAGAGGAGGATGGAGAGGAGGAGTGATTAACATGGCGGTGGGTGTCTGGAGCCCGGAGCTGTCTGACCCTTGGCGAATTTCTGGCTTGCCGAGAGCCACCCACCAAGAACCTCCGCCTCCCGGAGCCGCGGCACTTACAGGAGTTGGAGTAAGGGGTTTGTGGCGAGACAGGGAAGGCTGGGGTGGGGGGAGAAATCTCACCGCCGCCAGAGGGTGGGCTGGTGGGGGAGGCACCCTCCATCTCTTCAAAGGCTTCCTTGTAGCTGTGGAGATGAGGCTGGGGAGAGCAGGAGAAAGGGTCAGTCCCATTCCTACCATGGGCACGACCCTCCAAGACACCACCACCACCAAAAGCATCATTAACTCCCAACCCTGCAGGATGCCACAGATGCTGAAAGTCCCATACTCTCCTCCAAGCCTTCTCCCTCCCCAGAGGTGGCTGTACCCCACCAGCCACCCCCCGACCCCAGCACCCCCCCACCCTGGCACACCTCTTTGGGCCTCCCTCCAGGGTTGGCCGCGATGGTGCTGACCACCTCGGGCGAGAGGACGGTGGGGCTGCGGGGCGAGCTGGGCTCCGGCGAACTCTTCTCATAGTGGCTGTCACTGGGGGTCCGCTTGCGGGCAGGGACAGTGCTTTCCTCCGGGGGCTTCTCCCGGGACTGCACCCCTGCGGGGCAAGCACAAGGTGGGAGACGGGTGAGGAGGCACCAGCTAAGATGGGGACCAGCAGGAGATGCTCCGGGGCTGATCCGAGAGGTCTCCCTGGGGCTGTGTGCTGCGGAGCAGGCTCTGCCCAGCAGAGATGGCAGCTTCAGCACTCACCTGCATCTAACCCCCAGACCAGCACGGTCAGTTTTGAGCTGGAGCAGATATACCCTATAGCAGTGGCCCTGGGCCAAGCAAAAAAGTAAGGCAGGGTTGTGGCTAGTGGCTGGATCGCTGCATTAGCCCTCCCAAGCACCTCGAGTTTGGGGCTCAAGGACAGCATCCCCCGGCAGTGGGTGCGAGGGGCACGAGCATCTTGCGAGCAGCCCAGTGAGGCAGCCCAGCCCTGCCAGCCGGGAGAAGGGGACACTGCCTGCCCCTGCCCTGCAGAGCTCGCAAGGACCAGGACCTCCTGACAGCATCACGGTGGGAAAGGGACGAATCCCCCATCACCGGGATGGCCACATTCGGCTGCATCCCTGCTCCCACATCTGCATGCAGCTTCAACCACAGCAGTGGAAAAAGCCCATTTTTATGAGTCCCCAAGGCAGAGGGAGCACCGGGTCGGGAGGAAAGTCCCCAACAGAGGGATGGTACAGGGAACCCCAACAAACCACTGCTGATATCCTACCCCCAGCACGAAGCCCTCCTAAAAGGGGAGCTGGGCAGCTCCTCTCCATCTCCCCCCAAACCTCCTTCTCAGACCCCAGCGCCATGAGCCACCAGTGCCCACAGCCTGGGGCAACACCAAGGGGCTCTGAGACCCTGGGGGAAAGACGGGAGCGAGTAAGTCACCACAGGAGAATGGGTTTCTCTGGGCTGTTGGGGTCTGGTAGATCCCACTGGTGATCTCCGTGGGCTGGGATAAAGCCCAGGAATGGGGACAAAGCCAGCACAGGGCAGGGGGGCTTGGATGAGGGGTGCAACCCCAAAGCGGGGTCCAAACACACTCTCCGCCCCATTTTGCCTGAAGAAGGGGTTAATTAGGGCTCAGGGACAATGGTGCCCGGTTCGGTGCAGGTGAACCACACAGAGCATCGTGGGCGCAGCTCAGAGCCCTGCGGGACGCTCACTCCTCCCCAGCAGGGAGACCCCCGGTCTCAGCCCCAGTAGCAGAGGTGACAGCACCGTCCCCTCCGTCTTTCCCGCAGAGCCAGGGAGTGCTCACACTACCCTTGGCCCAGCACATTGGGGGGAAAAAAAAAGAGAAAAGGAAAAAAAAAAAAAAAAAGGTCAGCATCATGCTCCAGGAAATGCACTTTTCAAACACCAACTCCTTTCCCACGGGCTGGCGGAGGAAAACCAGCCATCAGCTGCTTCCCCTCGCTCCCCGGGGCTCTGTGCGGGACCCACGCCTCACGCCCGCTGACCTCCTCTCTTCACCACTCCAGCACCCGCACCAGAGCTTTCCTGGCCCCGGGGAAAGGGCTGGGAGCAGCGAAGGGGCTGGGAGCACAGGAGGGATGGAGGTGGCCTGGGTGCATTTCTAAATAATCAGCCTAGTGAATGGCAACAACAATAAAATCACTGCTCGGGGGGAGAGGCTGCCGGGCTGCAAGGCAGGGGACGCGAGCCAAGGGGGCTGGCTCCAGCCGCGGAGGCGGCCTGGAAAATTCCACTAAGAGCAGCTTTGAAACACAACTCCCCGATCCCTTCTGCAGGTGCTCGCCGGCGTGGGGGACAGCCATTAAAAAGACCCATGGTAGGGACAGGGGGTCGGAGAGGGTCTCTGGGAAGCCACCCTGCAGGCGCAGTGGCCATGGGTAGCATTGTACAGGGCCACCATATATCTTTTTCCCTGCTCCTCACTTTAAGGGAACAAAGCCCTGAGTTGTGAGCATAGAGAGAAACAAAACGGGGAAGGAAAAATAAAGCAAACTCTTACATTTCATTTTCACCTCTCCACTTTGTGCACTGCAGGGTGTCCTGCACGCTGCAAGAGCATCACCAGGACCATCCCTTGTCCCATCCCAAAGCGAGCTGCAGCGACCGAGCACTGTGGAGGGACAGGGACTGGGCTCCTCGAGTCGCGCACGCCTGCCTCGCTTTGCATTTTTAATTTGGGAAGCACAAACAGCAGCTCGCCAGAGCCCGGCTGTCAGTGCACATCACACATCTACAGCGTGGGACCCCCTGCTCCATCCCTGGGGCTGAGTGTCACCCAGCTGCAGGGTGCTGGATCTGGCCCGTCGGGACACCCGGGAGCTCACCAAGCTTTGGCTGCTCCGCTCCCCAGACATGGAAAGTGGCCGGGGCCGCGGGGAGGGGAGGGAGGAGAGGGGAAAAAAGGGACTCATTGTTCTGGAGCCGAGAGTGGGAAACTTCACGGGCCGCCCAGAGCAAAACCTGGAGAAAACCCAGGCTCTGATCACGGCTCCCCCGACCCCCCGGGTGATTTATGGGCTGGAAACTACGCTTGAAAAACAAACTCTCCTTTCCCCCACTCGCTGTGCACCCTCGGCAGACATACAGCCTCCCTTAGCCACGGTACCACCAGCAGCTCCCCAAGGATGCCCTGTCCGGCTGTGGGAGAGGGTGTCCCCATCACAAAGGGAGAATAGCAGCCTGCACCCCGCTCCCCACCCTCGCCCCCACCACCTCTGGCACTGCCACCCCCTCTGCTGCCCATTTAACTCCCTAACCTGGCAGCAACCCTCTCCCAGCAAAGTCCTGCCCTTGGACTAAACACTAGGGCTGGGGAAGGGCAGGGGCACAACAGCCGGGGCAGGAGGAAACAGGAGGGATTTAAATCCAGGTGGTTTTGTGGCTGGGGAGCCAGGTTTCTGGGCCAAATCAGGAGGCAGCTGCTTTTTGAGCATGAGATGCTGGAACTACTGCCGGGCAAGAGCTGGGCGATACCCCCACGGTGGAGAGGAGAGAGTGAAGCAGCATCCCATGGCCCTTGGGATGCAGCACCCAGCAGTTAAAGCCACACAGGGACACGCGATGCCCGGAGAAAAGAGAGATGCAAACTCGCTCCCTGCCTGCACAAGGAACAGCAGCAGACGTTGCCCTGTACCGTGCTCTGCCAGAGCCCAACTCACCCCGTCCCACCAGGCACAGAGAGGTCTACCGCTCCCCTCCTCCCAGGGCACTTCATTGATGTGGGCATTCATGTTTGACCCCAAAATGAGCACAGCTGGGGGCCCTCCCTCACCCACCCCCCAGCTGCAGACAGACCCATGGGAGAAACCCCTGGACTGAGGCAGGTGAGACTCTGGCTGAACCAGGGATCTGCAGAGCTGCACCCCAGCCCTTGCCTCCCCGAGGAGTGAGCCACAGCCAAGGCAAAGCTTGGAGGGGCTGGAGCAAGGGTCCGGATTTGGCCCAGCAATGAAACCCCACCAGAAAACAGTGCCAGGCTTGGATGAGATGCAAAACCAAGCGTGGGCAGGGGAGTCTGTACTCAGGGCCAGGGGCTCCCCCATCACTGGAGGAGGTCAAGGGGGGCCCTGAGCATCACCCTGCTGAGAAAGGGGATCAAGCCTGCATGGGGAGGGTCTCCCGAGCCTCCCTCCACCCCGTATCCATGCAACACACGGAGCACTCAGCATGCAGGGATAGGGGAGGAAGGAGGGATGAGAAGGAAGGAGGGAGGAGAGTGATGGAAGAAGGATGGATGGGGAAGGATGGAGGACAAGGAAGGAGGGAGGTGGAATGAACGAACCGGAGAAGGAGAAGGACCGTTGCTGGTTCAGAGGAGGACGGGGGGCTTTGGTGCTCTTGTTGAGGTCCCTGAGCTTGGCGTTGTACTCTGCCAGCGTACCAGGACGGGGGGGTGCAAGGAGGGTGGGAGGTCACGGGGGACAGACACGGTCCCCCATGGGGAGAGGAAGGAGCAGACAGGACAAATGTCACGAGATACAATAGGGAGAGAGAGAGAAAACAAGAGAAAATATTAGTCGGGCTCCAACAGATGAGCCTGAGGTCACTTGGGGTCCAAGGGAGCTCAGACCCCACTTACAGCTGCTTTCCCATCACCCAAATTGCCTGGCTCCAGGCACTACTTAAACCCACGTGGGAAATCAATGGTGGCTCCCAACCACACATGGCCTTATGCAACACCACAAATGCCCCATCAGTGTCCCCTTGGGGATGGCACTGTGCTGGTCCCCTCCATCATGGGATGCCGAGGGCTGGGACAAGAAGGGATGACCCCAGATGCCTCACTGGGAGATGATGGGGACTGAAGAACGGCAGGACTAGCTCCCCTCTGCAGGAAGACGCTGGGGATGCCAGCGCTGCCCCATCCCATCTCTTCCCCTCCATCACCAGTGGGAAGTGGGAACAGAAGCGCACCCCCGCCAGGCACGGAGGAGGTGTGAGATGCTCCACGTCGCTGCGCCAGGACACGCAGGCAATTTATAGCAGCAGGGAATGTAAACAAACCCGTCCATGCCCCACCGTCCCCACCGGCCATCCCCTCCAGGCACTGGCTTCGGGACACCTCGTTCCCGCCAGAGGTCAGGCCGCCCGCCCGCGCTGTTCCCGTCTCGGCACAGACGGCCAGGCTCCAGCAGGGACAGGTGGCCGCGGGCTGGGGACCATTCCCGGGACACCTCTCCTCCCCAGGAAGCCCAGCGGCTGCAGTGGGATGACAGTGACCCCAGCCCAGATTTGAGGACCTGATCCCAGGGGTGGGGATGGACTTTTTGGCAGACACCATCAAACATCCATTTCTCACCCACTGCAAATACTGCTCCTCCTCTCCTGAGGCTCTCCTCTTTTCCACCCCATTTTTTTCCCCTCCGTAGTTGGGGCGGATCTGCTCCTTATAATATTCAGTCCAGACATACAGCACGGTTTGGGCATCTGTGTGTTCTTGGGTTTGTTTAAACCCTCTGCACAAGCCCTGAGTCCCTATGGATCTGGCCTGGATCGCTGAGGTCAGGTTCAGATGGATGCAAACGTCCCCCAACACCTCTGCACCCCTCCACGACCCCTCCCCGCCGCTGGCACCCCTCCTGTCCCCCACCCCTGTGCCACGGTGACTCAGCCCCCGCGCCTGGGAAGCTGGTGCTGTTGGATTTTTCCAGTCAAGCCTTTTCCCCCTCCCTCTAATGCCAGGCGAGTTTCTGGACTGAGCACAGAGCTGGAAGGGATGGAGCTGCCAAGCCCCAGCATCACGAGCTGGCCCCCAGCCTGGCCGCAGCCCCGAACCCTTCCCAAATGTCGCTCTGCAATTCAACAACTGCAGCTGAAGCAGCGAGGAGGAAGGGCACCGAGCTGCCACAGGGCCACAGCACCTCCTTCCCAGGGGGCTGGGACCCTCCGCATCCCCAAAGCCCCCGAGCCAGAGCCGCAGGAGGGCAGGGAGGCAGAGGATGCAGTTTCCCATCTGCGGCATGGAGGAAACGCCTTCATCTAGCCACGGCACCAATGCTCAGCGCTGCACTCAGCCAAGCATTGCACCAAACCCCTCTGGCAGGGCTGGGAAATGCCTTCCCAGCCCACGGCATCACCCCACCGCCAGGTCCAGCTTCAAACCACACAGGGCCAACCTGGCTGGGCCACCGGGGCAGAAAGGCTGCTGCCAGCCTGCGCCCTGGACCCCCAGCTCCAGCAGCACCCTGGCTGCCCAGGGAGGAGGTCCAAGCACGAGGGGAGGTCTGAGCACCAAGCCCACCACGCTGGGAGGAAAACAGGACTAAAATCAGGGAGGAGCCCAGCTACTGTAAACACAAGGGAAGTGCTCTGCTGGGACCTTACACTGGAGCACACTCCAGGCAGGGAGAGCATCATGTCCAAGGTGGGGTCCAGGCAGGACACCCTCATTCAGAGCTGAAAACATCTTCCCAAACTCAGCCATATTCTCCCCCTAAAGGGAGAAATTCCCCTGGGACCCAGCAAGTGGCCCTGCTGCAGGGGACAGACCAGCCCCATACCCCAAAGGGGCGAGGATGAGGGGACCCGACCACCTCGGTCACCCGTTCTCCCCACCTCTGGGCAATGCTGCGGCGAGCTGCAAGGGGGGTTCTCAGCAAAGGAGAGGGGCACAGGCTGCGTCTCTGTGCAGCATGCCCCCACGGCGGGTGGTCCGCTCCCAAGCCTGGATCCAGCACGGACAAGGAGTCGCTGCATCTCCCATCCCCAGCTCCACCATGCACTACCCCCGTAGGCTCCGGCTTCTCGGGACATGCAGTCCCCCCAGTCCCCCCAAGGAATCAAAGCATCCTACCTGCCACCCTGTGGGCCACCAGGCCCTCCAGATTCAAGGGCTCTTCTGCCGACCTCGACAGGTCTTCGTAGCTCTCCGGTCCCTTGGGGGGCATCTGGGTTTGTGATGGGACGGTGGGGGAAGGTGGGGAGGACACAAGGAGCTGCTGAGGCCCCACGGGGCTGTAGGAGGTGCTGAGTGGGAGGTTGCCAATCGGTGCTCCGCCCGGGGCATGGCTGTAGCTCCTTGGCTCGGGCGCTGGTGCTGGCTGATAGCTGTAGGGCGAATAGGTTTCATGGTACTCATGCACCCCATAGTCCGGCTCCCTGGGAGAATAGGCTTTGCCCCCGGGCTCAGAGACCACAGGGCTCACGGAGGTGCCGAAGGACCTCGGCTGGACCACTTGTGGAGCCGGCTGGGCATAGAGACTGGTGATGGGCTGGGCTGAGAGGGAGGAGAGCAGGGGTCCCGCTGGCTTGTCCTGGCGAGAGGCTGCAGGCACGCTCTGTGATTTGTGGACGGCAGGCGCAAGGTCCAGCATGAGGACGTCAAGCGCTTCAATGGACTGCTCAATCTCCCGGCGGGAGGGTGCCCGGGGGAATTCGGGCATGCTGTGGCTGTGCGGGGGCACTGACTGCAGTGGGCTGGGCTGGGGGCTGCAGCTGGAGACACTGGGGCTGTGGCTCTCCATGCCACCCTCTTGCAGCCGGGAAGGCGGCCGGCTCCCTCCTTGCTGCTGCCAGGAATTCAAACCCCTCTGCACGGCCTCCCGGCTGCTGGTGCTGCGAGCCGGAGCCTGGGGCAGCGTTGGGTTCGCATCGTACTTGGCCATGTCCACCGCCGGGAAGGACCGGGAGCGGTAGGTGCCGGCAGGGTCGTAGCCATACAGGTAGGGCTGGGAGCCAGGCAGCGGCTGGGGCTGGAGCCAGCCTGGGGTGTGGGAGACCGGCGGGCGCTGCGGGTAGCCGGCCAGGTGGTCCTGAGTGGATGCTGAGGGCCGCAAAGGAGGCAACGGGTCACGGAGGTGGTGGCCCATCAGGGTGTTCTGGTTGTTGTAAGGGTAGCCGCCATTGGAGAGCGGCTCACCGTCGTACAGACCCTCCTTCAGCAGCTTCTCGGTCCCGTTGCAGCTTGAGGGGCCATTGGGCAGGGAGGACAGGCTGCCCACCCGGGGCGCCTCCTGGTAGCCGGCCTCGCTGGTGGTGGTGGTGCCATCCAAGGAGGAGAGCGTGCCCAGGCTGCCCACGCTGTGCCCATCCTGGTTGGGCAGCTCGTCGTCCAAGATATCCGTCTCCCGCTCGGCCACCAGCGTCGCGGCATTCCCATTGACGTGCACCTGAGCCGGCACCACGTGGCGGCCTGGCATGGCGGGCAGGTGCGCCGGCACAGGGCCGGGCACGTGGTTGTGCATGGGTGGCGCACTCTCCAAGCCGAAGCCGACAAGGAGACGATCCAGCTCCCGCTTCTCCTCGGGGCTCAGCACTGCCTGGCCACCGGGTGCCCCAGGCACCCCCGGCTCATCGGTCCGGTCGGTCTTGGTGGAGGCGGTGGAGTTGCCCGAGTCGCTGCTCACCGAGAGCGTGTGCTCGACGTGGTTGGGCGTTGCTGAAAGCGGGAGGCGGGCGGCGTTGACGGCACCGGTGCTGCCGTGGAGGGAGTCTTTCTTCTTCACTTTAGCGTAGAGGCTCCCATCCAGAGGCCCTTGCGTGTGCCCAACCTCTGCAAGGGGAGAAATGAACACGAGACCCCAGATCAATTGCTGGCTCTCTGCACAGAGCTAATGGGTCCCATTAGCTGGTGGTTTCGATCTCTTCCGTGCCGCCGGAGCGCTTAACGACCAGCATCGCCGTCTCCTCAGCACCCTCCGCAATCCCATGGGCACCATCATGCAGAGACACCGGAGCCAGACCCCCCCGAGCCCCGTTCCCCCACGGTCCCCCACTCCACATGCCGTCCTGCCCTGCCCTGCAAGCACTGCCTGCTCCACTGGGATCCACCAAAATCCACCCCCAGCTCCAGGCATCATTCCTGGCAATTCCTCTCCATGGCTGGCGAGGGCCGGAGCTGCCCACACAGTTGGCCATCACTTCACTGCGGCCCTGCTGCTCCGCAGCACTCAGCTGGCCCCGAAGGGCCACGCGGCACCAGGGAGGCAAATGGGGCGGGCGGGGGAGATGCACCACAGGCCTTAGGAGGACAGGCGGAGGCGGTCAGGATCTGGCCTCGAAGTTCTGCATGTCTCCAGCTGGATGGATGTACTCAGCCCACGGGTGAAGGACAGATGAACCACAGACCCACCTTCCCCCTCCCCACCCACTCTCCTCCCGGATGATGCACGGATCCAGCCAGCCGCCCATCCTTGACATTTTCTTCCCTGGCTACAGACAGGCTCCCACCCTTTCTCTCCTTCCCCTTCCCTCTCTCAGCCCACGTGGATCTACCCTGGACGTTTCCTCGCTGCCGGACGCTCCCCTGAAGCTCCCGCACAGGCAGTGCCTCTGCCCAACCCCGATCATGCAGCATCTCCTCCTCGGGGAGGCACCGAGCACCCCGACCCTGCGATTCGAGGCTAGTGCGAGCAGCCAGCTCTGCTCCGCAGCCCCCAAGGATGGGGGGCATCCAGGGCATGGCAGCATCACCACCGGCAACCTTGCACCCCAGCTCCGAGCCCCCCAGTTCCCACCACCCCCAGCAGCCCCAACACCACAACCAGCTGCACCCTATAAACCTTTCCAAGCGGGGCAGCCAGATTTTGGGGGCGCAGAGGGACTCTGGCCACCAAGACAGCAATGGGGATGGCCCCCAAGCCGTGTCCCCCCCGCTGGAGCATGCACGGCACCAGCTGGGCTGCAGACTCCCGTTTTTCCAGCTCCCCACCAAGGTTTCCTGGAAGGGCCCACGAGCAGTGTTAAACACTTTCTTTTGGAGGAAAAAATGACTCTTCCCTGGCGGCGGGCCAGGCGGCTGACTCAGGGACGGAAGACGGCCCTAACGCGATAGTGTGAAATCAGAGCGCTCCTATCTGTGAGCTAAACACTTCCGAAAGCCAGCCCTGAGCCGGGGACGGCTTAACCAGTCCCATGCCACAGCACCCGTGCCCCAGCAGCTCCTGCACCACTGACCCCCCTCGCCGTAAAGCGGAGGGGGGCAATAACACCCAGCACATATCCCACCAAGGCAGGACCCCCTCCTCACCACTGATTTTCCACTCCCGAATCCCCGCCAGCAGCATCCCAAGGAGGCAGCCGAGCCCCAAAGCCCCCCCTTGGCTTGAAGATGCCCTAGGACCACGCAGCGAGGTCTTCCCCAGGCACTTGGTGAGGGAAAGGATGAGGATGGGGTCCACAATTTCTCCCAGAGACTCAGAGCTCCTTCATCCAGCCAGTGTAGCCAAGAACTGGCAGCATTTGACTCCGCAACACCTCCCGTACGGGGGAAAAGGGGAATAGAAAGAGGGAATCCCTTCCTGTGGAGGGAGAAAGGAAAAAGCAGCGTGTCCAGGGGCAGTGTCAACACTGGAGAGGCTGAGACATCGCCTGGAGCCGGGCCGTCGCTCAGCCCTCCTGTATGATGGTGGTGATGGGTTCTGGCCAGTCCCGGGAAACAGGGCCAGAGCCAAGGTGGGGGCTGGGATAAATAGGGCAGGGGAATAGAAAGGAAAAGGGAATAAATAAATATAAATGAAAGCACGTGGCACCAAGGAAGAAAATAGCTGGGAAAGGCTTTAATTAGACTGTGGGCTGGGCAGCACCCCACGGCTGGGAGAAACGTCTCGAAAGCGGGGTCAGGATGGGGCACCACGCAGTTCATGGCAGAGCCAGAAAGCCCTGAGCACCCTGTCCCACCTTTCCCGGACCCTCTGGCCAGGCAGGGACATAGGGAGTTTGGTGGCCCCCACCCCAAGAGCAGTAGCAAGGAAGGGGCCACGACAGCTCCACCATCAGCCAGGCCCTTGTCCCACGGCTGCCCTGCCCCACACCTGACTGTCCACCCTGTCCTTGTCCCCACACGACCCCTGGGCTGGATGCCAAGAACCGAATTCTGCTATTCCCTGCCACTCCCAGGACCGCCCCCAGGCCATGCTATCACTCGTATGGCTGTCCACTTGTCACCTGAGAAGTTGAACAAAATCCCCCCAAAAAGAGCAAGGGAAGCGGGGACAGGCTGCCCTGGCCGAAGCAGCCGTCCCCAGAGCAGCAGGCTCCCAGGTCCCCATTTGCAAAACATTTGCAGCTCCCAGCAAGGTCAGATTTCATCCCTGAAGGTCAGAGCAGCTCCAGCCTGGCAGGCTGTGCCATCCTAGCGTGGGCTGGGTTTGCCCGGGGCTCAGCCCCTGACGCAGCTCTGCTCCGGCTCTATCTGCTCCGGCTGTATCTGCTCCAGCTGTATCGAGGCGGCTGGGGGAAGCGCTGAGCCCAGCCTGGTCCTACCCCTGCTGCCAGGCTCGCTGCCCTGGCAGGGCAACGCTCTGCCCTCTCCCTCCCCGGCACCCTGCAACTACAGCTGGGAGAAAAACTGGTCCAGGGCACGCATGACAATGGGAAGGGGGGTCAGCCTGCATCCCCAAAATCCCAGCCTTCTGCCTCACGCCCAGTGGGGTGCACTGTACAGCATCATGCACCAGCACAAATCCTGGCCAGGGCTCTGCACCAGTGCAAAGGGTAAGGCTGGGGCACCACCGTGTCTCCCCTGGTCCTGCCCCCAGCAGCATCCCACCTGCTGCCTCCACTCCCCACCACCCACAGCCCTGGCCCCAGGACATCTCTGGAGCATCAGCCAGCAGGGATCCTGGGGTCCCAGGACCCTTCGTAGGATGAAGGATGCAGGCTGAGTCCCATGGGGAAGAGCTCAGCCCTCCAGCTCTGGTTTCATCCTGTGCCCAAATATGATGGCAAGAAGTAACCCCAGCCCCTGAGCTGTGGGTCACCACGGCCGTGAATTACCCACCCACCCCCAGCCTCTTCCCCCATCCCACCCAGCTCAAAGAAAAGCAAAGTCAGGACTTACCAAAGGGGATGGGGAAGAAAAGATCCCAGGTGAAGAGGAGTGGGTAGCAAAATCTCTTTCCTTTGCCCCTTCCAGCACCAGAGCTTTCCAGGGGGACCTGGTGCAGTGGCAGCTCGAACAGTGTCCGCAGCCAGCTCTGTGTGTCCGTCCAGGACAGGAGCCGACAGCCCGGAGCTGGCTTTGGCTGGCGTTTGGCCCTTTGCCTTTCGTACCCCGATGGCAGCGAGGTGCCGGAGGGGCTCGGATACGGGGTACCCCCAGGACAGCGGGCACCTCCAGGACACAGGGTGCCGGAGGGGAGGGTGGAGAAGACGAAGGCGGCAGAGGCAGGAGACGGGCTGGAGGTGAGGAGGTGCGGTTGTGCTTCCCTCCGCCCCGGACCACACAGGGACGAGCAGGGAGGGAAAGGGGAGAGGCAGTGGGAAGGCGGCTGGGGGCCGCCCAAGCCTCAGCCCCAGCCCCGGTTAACCCCAGCGAGGTGCTGGGAGGGTGAGAGTGAGCACCATGGAGGGAGGACAGCCGGACAGACAACTCCTAGCTATGAATATTAACTACTTCCTCCACAGGCAGGGCTGCACAGCATTAACTGTTTCCTAGGCATGACAGCCAGACAGACGGACGGACAGCTGCACAGCCTACCCACCCTGCACCAGGTGCTGAGCATCACCGCACGGGATGATCCCCCCAGCAGCCCTGCCCAGCTCCTGCGTGCCCATTTCACACATGCCCCCAGAAAGCAGTGACACATTCGGGGTGGGGATGTCCTTTCAGGCCACATGTGATGCTGGAACCCAGCCAGGTCTGCAAACCCAAATGTCTTGCTGGAGACTTGAGCTTCTCCATCGTAAATAAATACACAGCCAAAGAGTGGAAACCCACTGTGGCCAAGCCACCAACCCCGCCAGCGCCAATCCCGACCCGTTTTCACAACCCCCCTTCCCTGTCCCGCAGCACAGCGTGGACGCACCAGCACTGGTTTTGGGATGGCACGTGCCACCCTGTCCCGTGGCAGGAGGCATGGCACAGATCCTATCCACCCTGGAGCTGCCTGTGACCGCGCTGCTCCATCCCGGGCAAAATCCATGCTGGGATGGTGCTGACAATTCGCTGGTGCAGGTGACGGTGAGCCCACCCCGTGTCTGGGCCCCTGCTTGAACCCGTGCTCAGGCCTCCAATCCTCGATTGATCCAACATACTCAGCAAAACGTGAGGCTCCCTCCACTCTAATCCCCCAAATCGTGCATTTCCCACACCCCCGTGGATGACGGCAGGGGATGAGAGCAGCGTTTCCAGCCGGCCCCCTGACTCACAGCCCTGTTTGCTCCCAAATAGTGGCACGCGCCAAGTCACCATCCTCCCAAAACCTCTGAGGTTTGCTTGCTTCTCTGCTGTTTTATTTTTTGCCCTGGTTGCACAGCTGCAGGCAGCTCAGCTGCCCAGGGACAGCCCCAGCCCCCTGTACACGGCTCCGGCAGGTTTTGACTTCAAGGACAGTTTAAAGGGGGAAGAGAAGGGGCTGAGCTCCCACCAGCCCGTCCTTCTCTCCCTGCATCCCAATCCCTGCCTGGTTCCCAGTCCCAGCGGGACCAAACCCCATCAACCCCCCCGTCACAACCCCAAATACCAGGTCAGGGGACAGACCCTGCCCTGGGAGCAGCCACGCTCCAGCTGAAATGTCTAGCCAAGCCCGTAGATGCTCCAGCATTTCTCCCATGGGGAATAACCAGAAGCAAGGGGGAGACACTCCCTGTGGATCCCCATCCAGCCCAGCCAGGTCACCGCTGCCCCCCAAAACGCCCACTCCAAGCCCTTACCTTGCTGCGGCCGGAGCAGAGAGCAGCAGAGAGGGGCGGGATGGGGAGGGGGAAGCAGATTCCTTCAGCTTTAGTCAGCTGGCGAAGAGGAGAGGAGAGCCAGCGGCTCCCCTCCCTGCCGAGCCTGGCCAGGGGACGGATCCAGCCGCGGGGGGAGAGCAGCAGCCCGCCGGCAGCTCCAGCAATGGATTTAACAGCTCTGGCCTGGCCCATTTGGCTCTCCGCCTCTGCACAGCCTGGCTTGCCCTCTTGGGCAGCCTCAGCCCCAGATAAGTGAGGCAGGATTTGACCCCACTAAGGAAGATGTACCCCACAAGATGCCCACCCTCCTGGGGGACCCACGGATGACAGCGACCCCATCTAGGGGCTTGCTGCCCCATGGAAAGGTGCCAGATCAGCATCCAGCTCGATTTAGGGGGCTCTGGGACCCCCCAACCTTTGCCACATGGGGTTCAGGCTCTGCTGTGACCTCTCATCCCCAAAGGGGTGGGATGCTCATCCCGCTCCCCACCCTGGCCAGCCCTGCCCTGCATGCAGGGCTGAGCTGCAGGGGAGCCCTGCGCCAGAACCATGACTCAGGTGGGGATTTAGCAAGTCTCTGGCAGATGTTGGATTTGGCCAGGCCCCAGCCACCCCTCTTCCAGCCCCGGTAAAAAGGGGAGGCAGGCAGGGCCAGCCTGCAGTGGGGACGGGGATGGTACAGAGGTGGGAGGTGGAGAGGTGGGGTGGATGCTGGGTGCAGCAGGACCAGCCAGGGTGGATCCAGGGGCTGGTTACAGGAAGCTGCTGGGCTGGGGACACACACCCAGCCCTTTCACATTGTCTCACACCACCCCAGGATGGTGCCCCCCACCACGGTCACACATCCAGACCCTGGGGACAACCTCTCCACCACCTCTGTGCTGGCCCCAGTACCCTGTTCTCCATCAGCATTGGTTTTCTCAGCAAAACCAAACCAGGCCATAGATGTTGCCCAGCCAGATTTGCCCACCTGCCTCTGAGGTACCCCAAAAATTTCTCTGCCACGATCCTCCAACCAGCTGCAAAGCCAGCAGTGCCGCATCCAGCTGCAAGTCTCCTCCTGCCTCCCCAGAGCTAGCTTTGCCCCCCGAGGAGAGCCACCACAGTGCTGGCAAAGCATCCTTCATCCACCCTGGATAAAGGACATCTGAACCCCAAAAACAGCCAAAGGAAGAAGTAAACCATCACTACTCTTCAGCCTCCAAACACCCTCTCAGCCAACCGATGGCTATGGGGACTGCAGCAGGAACCTGCCACGCAGCCAGCACAAACCACAAAGATCCTTTGAGGAGGAGGAAGGAGGGCAGGCAGAGCCGCTTGCCTCCCCCGTGCCGCATGGGGATGGATGATGGGCAGTGGGACGGGGCTGTGGGGGTATTCCAGCGCACCCCACTCTAGCTAAGGACCACGGGGCAGCCCAAGCCCGGCGGGCAGCAGGGACCCTGCCTGGGTAAGGCAGGAGGGTGAGCAGGCTGACGGGGCCAGCCTGTGCCATAGGGGTGGTCTGCAGACCCAGCCAGGTCCCCTCAGCCAGAGAGCAAGATGTGGGGGTTCAGATCCCCCTCTCATGCCCTCTGCCCTGGGCAAGCTTGGTCAGCCGGCAACCCTGCTGCGACTCAGTTTCTCCTTCCCGAAGCCGCCGCAGATAAGCACAGCGGAGGCGAGGGTAACACCAGGACAGGCACCATCCCCAGCCATCCACCTGCCCTTCCAGCTTTGGGGTCCCACAGGGTCATGCCCACCCTGTCAGGCACCCCCCCAGCCCATATGGGTGCCCCACGCCGAGCCTAAGCTGCTGGAGAAAGGGCATCCACCTCCACCGAGAGCGGCTGTGGCCGGCAGAGACGCGACGCAGGGGATACCCACCGTTTGGCAGGCGATCCCAATCCCGTCGGCCTGGGCTGCGGTGCCGGTCTGCGGGGAGCCTTCGCCGAGCGGTGGGGACGGGCAGTGGCAGGGACGAGGAGCAGCGGCTGATCCCACCCCGGCTTGGGTCCCCGTGCCAGCCTCACCCCCCTCCGCCCCCGGCCGCCGCTCGCTCACGCCTGGTGGTGCCAAAAATGTGGCGTGCAATTCCCTGACCAAATAAGGCGAGAACAACCATAAACAGGGACCCCCCTCGCACAGCCGGGCACCGGGGTCCCCATCCCATCCTGGGACAGGCTGAAGAAGAGGAAAAGTGCCGACAGAGAGGGAAGAAGATGGGAGCCCCCCGAGCCCACGCTGGCTCTCCCTGCCACTGCTCAAGGTGCCCCATGGGGCAGCCAGGGTGAGACCCCCTATAGATGGGCTGTGTTGCAGCTGCCTGCACTGGCACAGGTCAGGGGGCAGCCTCCTGCCTGCGGCTTCGCCCTCCGGCAGTCCCAGCTCATCCCCAAATCGGGGCAGTGTTTGCCAAGGTGCCCTCATTCCCCATCACCACCCTCCCTGCAGGGAGGACAGCCTGGCCAGCACATGGAGGGACCTCTGCAGCCCCAACACCCATCAAGACCCCCGGGAGGGGATGGAGAGGAGCCCTGGGGTACCTCTGCAGCCCTGCAAGGGGCTGGGAATGCTGTGGCTCTGCCCCAGGGGCCAGAGGGTAACACACATGCACCGAGGCACTCGGGTCTCCACAGGTAGGAGGGGGCTGCCAGTCGGTCCTGCCAGCTTGGGGCAGGGGCAGAACCATGGTCTGAGCTGACGGTGGGGACATACGTCCCCTCCCCTTGGGGACGGACCCGCAGCTCCGCGCCACATAGCTGAGCCCGCGCATCACGAGTTGCCTGTTTAGTGCCCCGTGCCAAGGCAGGCGCCCATGCCAGCTCCGCACAGCCGCCCCATGTCTGGCCCCATGTCCCCACTGCAGGCAGGGACCCCCTTGCCAGCCCTGGGCACCCAGAGCCCCCACCCTCCCCAGTGAGCCCAGCCACCCACAGCTCCCACTCAGAGCAGCCGGTGACCTTCAGGGACCACAGCTGTCCCCGCTCTGGGGACGCCTGTCCGGACCGGGCCAGGAAAACTCAGGCATCTGCTCGGCCACAGGTGGCTTTGCCGCCGGGAGGGGGGCCCACCACCCTTCGATATGCAAGTGCTGCCTGTTCCTGCCAAGCAGGCGAGGGCAGCCAACTCACCGCATCCAAACGGGTGCTCAGGGGGATTTTCCCAGCTCCGAGCAATGGTGCAGACCCTCCAGGGCCAGTGAGGCATCTGCCTCTCCCAGGGGAAACTGAGGCACAGCTACATCCTGCCACATTTGTGCCACGATAAAGGAGCTGGGAGACCTAATGGTCCTCCCCATTAGGTCCTGCTCCCGATAGACTTGGGGTTTGGGTTTCCCAAAGCTCTGGGGCGTGAACCAGGGCTGGACTCTGCTCTGCAAACAGAACTTTGAGAGCAAAAGCACCGAAAAAAGATCCTGAGGTCCCTGGCATCGCAGTGGGAGGGAAAGTCCACGAGATCTTCCTCTCCCATCCCATGGCCACGCTCCTCCAGGCAGCGGCCACCTGCCCCCAGCTTTGCTGCCTGCCAGCGTCCCCTTCCCTGGGGTGGGGGGGATTTCCACAGGGACACTTGGGCCACCAACCACCCTATGAGCCCTAACCTTTCTCCAGGTGCTTGCCAGGCAGGGGCGGCTCAGCCCAGGTGCCCTCCGTGCTGTCCTCGCGCTGGATGTTGAAGTTCTCATAGGAGTCCCACCGGATGAGTGGGTCGGACGTGTTGTAGTCCACGGAAACGCTGGGCCCGTTCTCCAGGTGCTCCATGCCTGGGAAGAGGCAGGACAGTCAGTCGGGGTGACAATGGAGCCAGCATGGGTGGGATGGAGGGAGGAGATGGAGAGAAGGTGCAGGCAAGGGAACGAGGGCAGGAGCCATGGAGCAAGGCAGGAGAGTCACATAGGAACGGGAGCACCAAGAGGGATGGATGGGCATGGGAGGTACATCGAGACTCACAAACAAGGTGTACAGGGCTGGCCAGGGCTTTTGGGACTGCCTAGGGACAGGCAGATGGACTGACAGTGAGCATGCCTAGGGCAGGACTTTTTGGGGTGGGGGGTCCTCCATTCCCAAGCGCCCCCTCCCTCTCTCCCAGGCCAGCAAGTGCTGCAGAGAGCGGCCTCCCAGGGAAGAGAGCGAGGGCGATAGGGTACCCATGGGTGCTCCGAGATCAGCATCACTGCCTGGACCCCTCATCCCACCCTGGTGACAAAGGGACTGCAAATGGAGCAGGGGGAGGTCACAAGGGAGACAGCAAGGGACAGAGCTGGGGAGCAGGAAAGGAGCCAGCATCCAGCTCCAAACCCCCATAGCGGTGAGCGAGCCGTACCTTGGATCTTCTCGGGGCCGTAGGAGAACACGAACTCCACCTTCCCGTACTCAGGGAAGCGGTCATCTGGAAGGGAGAGAGCAGAGAAAAGGGACCATCTCCATCCATCCCTCCAACGGCACCCAGCCAGCCATGCTAAAAGTGTGCGGAGCATAGGGCAACCACCCCAGCCGGCGCAAGGCCGGGAGCTGGTCGGGGATATCCCAGCATGGGGCAGCACGTCTCAGCCCCCAGACAACCCCAAGACAGCCCCTCTGCATCACTACCAGATTTGGGCAACGAAGGGGACGACACTGCCACCAGTCCCCAAGTGCCACCACACCCTGAGGATGGAGCAGGAGCACCCTGCTTCATCGGGGGTGGATTTGGGGTGGGTGCCCAGGTGTCCCAGTGATGGGAGCGGTGTCAAAGGTGCGGGAGGAGGAGGGAGTTTGGAGTGGAGAGGTGGCGGGGCAGTTACCTCTGAAGGCCTCATCCAGGTCCTCCTTGCCAAAGACGACGTCGAGGTCATGCACGGCACACGTGTGGAACTGCACGCGGAAAATCACGTCGCGGGTTGGGCTGCGAAACTTCTTGTGGTAACACTTCAGCTGCAGAGGGGAGTGGGGTTGAACCGTGAGGATGAGCCCCCGGGGCTGGACAAGGGGGAACCAGAGGGTCCCCAGGCACAAGGACCACCCGTCCCCCGGCTGCTTCCCATGCAGGGGGCTGAGCCAAGGCTCCTTACCAAGATATCACCCTTGAGGAGCAAGCCAGGCTCGATGGTGATGCAGATGCCCGTCTGGCTGTCTCCTTGCACGTTGCTGCAGAGAGGGACAGTGGAAGGACATAAGTTGCAGTGCAGAGCCCCCCCAGAGCTCCCAGCACCGCCTCCACCAGCCCTTTCCACCCATACCCAGCCAGGAAATGTGCAAAGCACGGAGCTGGCCCTCTTGGTGACAGAGGAGGGTCTGGACCCCTGCCCCAAGGGGTACCCATTCCCAGGGGGAGGTGAACAGGAGGGTGAAACTGAGGCACAGCTCAATGAGGAGGCTAAAAATCCCAGGTTTGACCAGGGTCCGAGTGCCGGAACTGTGCTATCAACCATCCGCCCTGCTCCCGTGGGTCGAGTGCAGCACAGGACGCAGAAGGAGAGCTCTCAGGGAAGGCTCTCCTCCCTGCCTCAGTTTCCCTGCCAGAAGCCCTCCCCTCCCCAGGGCGCTGGGGGGCTGCCTCCGGGTGGTGGCGTCAGCAGCGGGGGACGAGGGAAGAAGGGAGTTGGATTTCACAGGCAAGATAAACCTGGAGTTTATTACCAGCATCCCATAAACAGTCTATTAAAAGCTGGAAGGCAAGGCTGGGATGGCAGTAAATCTCAGCTAATGGCGATGCCCAGCTGCAGGGAAGGGAGATCCCAGTTCAGGGGGTGAGATGGGAATACCCCCAAGGCAAGGGGCTTTGCTCCCTCCAGGGGGGCCAGGAGCCGGGGGTCCCGGGCTGGGATGCAGCCCCAGCAGAGCACCCGGGAGGCTGGAGAAATCAGCTCCTGCTTTGCCTTTGCCAGCGCCTGCTCCGGAGAGCAGCGTCAGAAAATGGTGTCAGGGGTAAATCGTGGGGAGGTTAAAATGGGGGGAAACTCTTTTCTGGGGAGAGAAAGAGGGCTTTTAGGACGATTCCAGGCAGGAGGAGCAGCTTTTTGGGCAGGGAAAGGAGAAATGCCTCCATCCCCCAGGGAGGTGTCCCCATCCCTGTCCCCGCTCCCTCCGGGGACACACAGCCCCAGGCTCTCCACAGCCCCGGGCTCCCTCTGCTGATACGCAGAGTCACTACAGCCCTCCCAGCAAAAGGGCCCAGTATGGCCCAGTATAGCCAGTTAACACCTCCAATGAAAGGGAAGCCCCTTTTTTTGGTTCCCTGGACCACAAACAGACTCAGCACAGGGCACTGGGACTGCTGGGGACTTGGCCTTGACCCTCTCCATCTCCCCCCACTTGCCAAGCCCCCCACGCTGGGGAGGAGGGAAGCCCCACGGCGAGGAGATAGTTACTAGATCCCCGAAGTGTAGACGGGCTGCATGGCCTGGTAGATTTTCAGGAAGGGCCGACAACCTGGAAGACATCAAGGCGGGAAGAGAAGGCGTGCTGCTGTTAGCCAGCAGGGCGGAGAGGCCAGGGCAGGGATTAGTCATGGGGGAGAAATCCAAACAGGGAGGGAGCCAAGGCAAATAGCCACTCCCCGCCCCAGCCAGCCCGCACTGGCCACGGGCAACATCTGGGATGGGCAGAAAGGGATGCTCTGGATGGGGTGGGAAAGGGGGAAAGCCCCTACAGACCAGTTTGGGTCCTGTAGGACCTGGGGCGAGCGCTGGGCTGGGGATGGAGGTGGGATGATGGGGGTGGTGGTCTCTGAGAGAGGAACCACTTCTGGGTACCGGCATCAGGCATGGTGCTACATCCCAAACCCCAACCCCAATTTGGTGCCATCCTGCAAAAAGAAGCTCGGGTTAGTGCCAAGCCCTGGGAGCCCTGCACAGGGGGAGCACCCCCGAGGGTATCTCTGCAGGAAAAGGGTAGCACCCTGCTACAGCAAACAGTCCCTGAGAGGGAACAGTCCCTGAGAGGGAAAGGGAAATTCAAATTGCTGAGGAAATTGTGGAAAATATCCCCCATGGACAGCAAGCCCAGCCAGGCAGCAGGCGTAGGGGGCACCTACCGCCTTTTGACTCAAAGTTGGGGATGCCGTGCATGATGACGTGGTGGAGGAAGAGGGGCTTGTTGTTCATCTTGATGCTGCCAGACAGGAGCCCGCTGAAGTAATGGATGTACCTAGAGGGGGGACAGGCAGCTCAGGGGCAGGACCCACAGCGGAGCACCTGCCTTGGCCCCCCTGCACCCAACTGCCCTGGCCACGGGATCAAAACTCATGCCAGGACTCACCTCTTCTGGGATGGCTGTCCCACTGGCACTACCTTGTCCTCATAGAAGCGCTTCATGGCAAACCTGTCCAGAGCCTGGTTGGCACTGCGGGGACAAAAGGGTAGATGAGGGATGGAGATCGGCATTGGGCCCCATGGCCACCCCGGGATCGCATGTCCCTCTCACCTGGCCGAGATGTTGCTGTAGTGCATGTAGGCAGCCACCACCACCCCCAGCCGGCCGCGGTTCCCCTGCGGGCACAGAGCACAAGGGGTGTCATGGGGGTGTTGGTGCCTGCGAGCACGCAGGCACAGCCGTCCTGCACACAGGCACGCACACCAGTCCCTACACACATGCACCAACCCACACGCACACCCCAGCCCTCATAGACACCCACTAGTGCACACGTATGCCAATGCCTACAAACATTCCCTGCACTCCTCAGCCTCTGAGGCTGCTCAGCCCTGTCCCTGCAGCCCCCCAGCCCCCCCAGCCCCCCATCACTGTGCGCCCCAGGGACAGGGTCTGGCCCACCTTGTTGTGCAGCACCACCACGTTGTGCGCTGCCGCGTTGAGCCACGTGTCCATGGCTTTGCAAATGCTGCAGATCTTCTCCAGCGCCGGGGTGTGCAGGTCACTCCTCAGCCTCTGAGGCTGCTCAGCCCTGTCCCTGCAGCCCCCCAGCCCCCCCAGCCCCCCATCACTGTGCGCCCCAGGGACAGGGTCTGGCCCACCTTGTTGTGCAGCACCACCACGTTGTGCGCTGCCGCGTTGAGCCACGTGTCCATGGCTTTGCAAATGCTGCAGATCTTCTCCAGCGCCGGGGTGTGCAGGTCGGGCCACCCAAAATCCAGCACCTGACGGGGGGGGGATGACAGGGGTCACATCCACGCCGGGCTCTGCCCCCTCTGTAGTCCCCAGCCTGCCAGCGTGCAAAGCCTAGGGCACAGACCCAGGGCAGGCACCACCGCGTTGCCCTGACATGGCCCTCCCAGCCTTTCCCCCAACCCTGCACCCCACTGCCCAGACCCCTGCCCTTGGGGGGGCCACTGGAGTCCTAGATCTCAGCCCTGCTCTGGGTCACTTGGCTCAGGCGCCCAGGGCTCCCCCATGTTCACAGGGATGGGGATGATGCTTTAGGGAGGTCTCAACAGCCAGGTTTGGACTGGGGATGGGATGGGGGTTAAGCTGAGACCCCACAAACTCATTGGGAAGTCCCGGTGCTTTCCCTCCCCTGCTCCTCCACTAGCTGGGTGGGATGGAAAGGGTGGCTGTTCCTCCCCCAAACAGCTTGCAGTGGGGAGCTGGTCCCACAGACAGCCCTGCCCCGAGCCCCTCTGCTCCCCACAGCTGCGACCCACCTTGGGGTGAAGTTTGCTGATGTCATGTCTCCGCTCGGAGAGGTTGAAAAGCTTCAGGGAAAGGGAAAGACAGAGTGAGGGGTCACCTTCCTCCCTTGCTGCCACCCCCCACCTCTTCCTCACTTCAAAGCCTCCCCAAATCCCCCCATGAGAGGCTTCCCCAAACACATTAATCTGAGTAGCAACTTGCCATGGGGCAACATAATAGCCAAAAACTCCCAGGGGGTCCAAAAGGGACTGGAAAGCTTCAAGGAAGGAAAAAATCCATCTGTCTTGGTTCAAAGACCCCCCTCACCAGAGCCGAGCCCAGCCAGAGGCAAGGCTGCAGCACCCATCCCCTGCAGCACCCCATCCCCAGGACCCGAGCACCCCCACCCCTTCCCCAGCCTGGAGAGGACCCGGCCGTGGCCCTCACCACATAGTTGTCCCCATGCTTGGACTTCAGCATGTGGGCCACCTCGCGGAGGTTGCTGCAGAAGCTCTGCTCCTCGGCTGTGCTGGGGTAGGAGACGGCGATGATCCGCTCCGTGATGTACACCAGATCCAGCTCACAGCTGCTCTCCATGGCCGTGGTCAGACTCATGCTCCTGGGTGAGGGAGGGGACCACCGTCAGGACACGGCATGGGGAGGGAACGCTGTGACCCTTCCCCTCCCTGCACAGCCCCTGGGGTTAAGCGAGACAGGCTGGGACACGTGGGGATGCAGCGGCAGGACTTCCCACAGCCTTTCCCCTGCTCCCAGCCCCATTTGGGTGTCTTGGGGACACCAAGTTGGGGATAGTGGGTCATAACCCCCATGTCTTCTCCATGGGGAGCATCTCCCAGCTGTAGCACATCTGGAGAAGTAAAGTGTTGGTAGGGGGGAGTTTCAGACAAGGCAGAGATGGTCACCAGAAGGGGAAACTGAGGCATTTACCTGGATGTTTTGTGGCATGACTGCCCGCTCTTGGGTGATTTTGTGGCATCCTAAAGAACCAGAGAGGAAACACGAGTTATTGCCCTGACCCAGCCCGCAGCCAGCACAAGGGTCCCACTAGAGCCAGGTGTGATGGTGCTGCCGGAGCATCCCACCCCCACCATGCTGCACTGCGCACCAGAACACCCCCAAAATATTGCTGTCTCCAAATCCCACCCGCTGAGCACCCTGGTGGCACCAAACACCCCAATGGCATCATCGTCCCCCCACCATGGCCACAAGCAAAACCCAGCTCTCGCAACCAGCATGGCCGGGACCAGCTGCCACGGGCACTGCGGGGCCAGCGCCTTGGCACAGGGTCCCAGAGGACCTTTGAGGAGGATGCTCTGGGTGGGGGGACAGTCTCAGGCATGTTACGAGTCCCTCCGGTCTCAGCCAGGCTCCGGACACACACCTGGCAGGACACAGTGGCTTTGGCCCTGCCCGGGGCAGGGGAAGGTTAGCTGCCCGAGCAGCGGCGAGGAGCCAGCCAGGCATGGCGGTTTGCTTTGGCCCCGGCTCTGCAGAGCCGAACGCCGGGAGGAAATGTTTGAGCTCTCGGAGCAGGAAACTTCTATTTATGCATGTTCTCCGGCCTCAAGAATTTCATCTGCAGCCGGTTTGCTTGGTGACTTTGTGACCTCAGCCGAAAAACAAAGCAGGGTTTCCAAAAAAAACCACTAAGGAAAAACACACTCACACCTCATTTGTTTTAGTGTATCTCCAGCTAACAAGCAGGAGTCACTTAAAGACTCATCTCGCGCAGGCAGCACGTCCCAAGCCCCCGGAAGGATCCAGAAACAAGAGATGTGCCCCACAGCTGGCTCCTGAGATGTCCCTTTTGTCCCCAGAGCTGCGGGACCTGCTGCCACCCTCCTCGGGGCTGTGGCATCCTGCAACCGGCACACCACAGGCGACAGGACAAGGTGGGAGAGGTTTCCCTGGTGCCCTTCAGCCGCCATCTCCCACCTGGCGCAGTCCCGGAGCGGCTCCCGCGGGCAGCCAGCATCACCCTCCATCGGCCCTTTCAAAGTCAGGCTGCCTGGTGGAGCAGAGCCGGGCTCAGCAGCCCATGGGGCCCGGAGACAAGGGTCTCCTCTCCCAGCCAAAGCCACTTCAGGAGGCAGCAGCCCCGTCCGAGCACCCAGGGGCATGCGGGCAGCAGTGACAATCCCCACCCAGGTTGTCACCAGGGTGCCCCAAATCTCCTGCTCAGCCCAGAAACCCCCCAGCATCGCTGGGGGCAAAGAAGGAGTTAAAATGCAGCAAAAAGAGAGGTAAAACCTTTTCCGGGCAGAGCCAAGGTAAATGGATCAAGCTTGAACCTGAGCATGGGCTCGTCCCTGCGTCACCCACCAGTGACCGGGATGGGATCCCCACTGTGGGCTCTGCTCTGCCCCAGACCTTTGTAGCAGGAGACATCTGGGGTTCCCCACCCGCACCCACCAGCCCGGGGAGCCCCAGCAGCCCCTGCCACCCCACCCACCCGCAGCAGCCTCCCAAACCGCCACCTTGCCTGACGGATGAGCTGATGTGGGGCAACCAGGACTCGCCCTCCTCTCCCGCATGGGGAAACTGAGGCATAGCAGGGTGAGCAACGCGGGAACGCCAGAGCCCCTCTCCCTCTCCATACCTTGATGGTGGCGAGACCCTTGCTAATCCATTTCCATGGCATGGCAGCTCCGCTCCCGCCACCCTCCTGGCCCAGAGGAGTGGGTGCCTGCAGCCAGGACCCTCCAGTGTCCCCCACCCTGGCAGGAGCCCCCCAGCTCTGCCCTGCTCCCCGCCCCGATCTAACCGCAGCCGCGCTGCCGTCTCTGCCGCCAGCCCTGGCACGAGGAAGAGTCAGCCCGCGATCAGCTGATAAGAGCAAGCATTCGTGTTATTGAACACTCCTGTCCACTGCCAGGCTGGGAGACCCTGCAAAGGTCCCCTCTGGACCAGAGACCCCGGCCAACCCAGTGTGTCCCAGTCCAGCCCAGCACAGGGCAGGCTCATCTCAGTCGCATTGGGTTGAAGACCCCCCTGCCAGCCTCATCAAGCATCCACCTCCCAGCCCCAGGCTGGCTCAGCATGTCCCCAGGCTCTGTGCAGCATCTGAAACCCGCAGGTCCCTTCTGCTCGGAAAGGGTGATGCGAGGCACGAGGAAGGCTGCAGAAATACCAGGAAACTTCCCCAAAAGAGAGCAAAGCCAGCAAAGGGGGCTCCTGACAGTTCGGACAGGGGTTGGAAACATTTCATAGACAACCAAAGGGACGGGGAAAAGCTGGCTTACAGGTGAGGAAGGCTTTCACCCTCTTCCTCATGGGAACAACTCTGTCTCCATCCCTTAGGTCCCAGCCCCGGTGCACAGGGAGGCCAGCAAGCTGGCTGCAGGCGGGGGGAAGACGTCCACGTTGACTTTGGCAGTGCGTTTGTCTACACTGTCTTAGCAATTTCATGTCCACAGATTAAATAACGTATCCCCAGCTCCGAGACAGGAAAGCCAGCTTTGCAGCAAAAGCCCCGGTCCCCCCTTGGCTGGGCTCCGCCACCGCCTTTGTCACCAATCCTGGGCACCTCCCTTGGCCTTTGGCATGGCCATCATCACCTTGGCTGGCAGGGAGGGAGGGCTGGGGGCATCCCAGGGATGTTGGGGGACGACAGGGGCATCCCAGGCTTAGGGATTTTGGCTGCAGAGGGTGCTTCTGGCAATAGGACAGGCACAAGTGCCCCTCCGGGAGGTCTTGAGGCAGAGATCAGCCTCCGTGACTGGTAGCACTTACCAGGGTGTCTACCTGCTTCGTGATGCTCTCCCCCGGGGATGGCTGCAGGCAGGCAGGCAGGAGGAAAGGAAGGGTGAGAAAAAGGCAAGCGAGAGAGAAGGAGAGAGAGATTGAGAGAGAGACACGCATACAGAGCGCGGGCCGGGGTCAAAAGTTCCCCCCTGGCTATTTCTGGCCCTTCCTAGGAAATGCGCCGCGGTCCCGTTTCCTTCCCTGCCTGCCAACATGTCCGTTCTTCCTAAAGGTCGGGAATCCCTCGAAATCCAGGCGCAGAGCTGGGGCGATGCTCGGGCACCAAGGGCGCTGCTGTCCTGCCTCCCAGCAGCTGCCCCCCGGGGTTGGACAGCTGTCATGGGTGGAGAGCACTCAGCCAAACCCCGCACCCGCTCCACGGCGGGCACCTGGTGCCCCCCACACCTCTGGGATCCCATCTGGATCCTCCACGGTCAGACCCCACAGCCAGGAGGTAAACAACAGGGCGAGCCCGGCACAGCCCCACACCCAGCCTGGCCGCCGGCCACCGGCAGGCCCAGATCCCCGAGATAAACCCAGCCCCACAGGGCTGGCGAAGGACCCTGGTGGGAGTAGAGCAGGGGTCCAAGATGCTCAAAAAAGAGGCAAATTTGGTGACACATCACTGGAGTCCACAGAAAGCTTTGAAATGGGGCTGGGGACAGGAATTACCTTCCCGGCATGGGGGAGTGTCCGGAGCCCAAATACAGGGAGCAGGGGACAGATACCTCTGCCTGGGGACAGCTGGTTGGGGTGTCTGGGGGTGGCACAGCAAAGGGACCCAGCTGGGTGGCTTATGGGGGTCTTGGGACCAGGGGGACGGAGGGGACCCCCGAGACCAGGCTGCTCCGGTCCTAGCAGCGGGGCCAGGACTGCCATTTCCAGCCATGGGACGGGACAAACCCCTTTTGATTTCCTCCCAAAGCCGCAGTAACGGTCCCAGCTCGAAGCCAACATGTTTTTGCTGGTGATAAGTGCCTGAGGAGGCTGGCAGGGACGGGGGGGTGCAGGCAGAGATTAAACCCAGGGCAGATAACCACCGCGGGGCCCCGGGGAGGGCAGCACGCTCTGCTCCCACCCCATCCCCTCTCTCACTTCGGCTCATGAGCTGCCCTCACGAGCTCGCAGGGGGTCATCCTCTAAACCCACTTTTTGGCTGAGACCCCTGCCCGGCTATGGGGTGCCTAGCCCAGGGCCCCGCATGGGGCATGGCCACCCCGGCACTGACAGGCTGCCGAGCCCGGAGCTGAAACCTTGCCAGGGCCTCCTCTCCCCGGCGCCTGCCCCAGCAAGCCTTGGCACACGTCCGGAGCAAGAAGGAAGGGCGCCCGCGCTGGCCCCGGGCAATGCCAGCGCCTCCGCCGCCACGTGCCCACTCTGCCCGCCGCGACAGGCACAGCCAGGCTGGGGACGGGGCAGGGGGGCTGCTCTGCCAGCAAGATGCTGCCTGGTGGGCACCGCCGTGCCACGCTTCCCAAACCTCTGTCTCAGGTATGGTCCTGCTCCCGGTGCCATCCTGGTGCCCTGCCATCCCCAGAGCCCTGCCACGGCCCGGAGCAGCGTGGCAAGGGAGCACGGCTGCCCGCCCAGCGCCTCCGCGACTGTCCTCCCCAGAACAGGGTGAACGGAGATGGGGCACCCAGCTGTTTTCCCGGTGTCCAGAGAGGACAGGGTGGGAAGGGCTGTGCATCGCCCTGGCCCCGGCTGCTCATTAAAGGTCCCCAGGAGGGACAAAAGAAGGGGGTGACAATAACAAGGGCTGCAAACGCACGGCCTTGGGCTCCCCGAGCCAAAGGCACATCTGGTAGAGCCATCTCCGGGTGTGCAAGAAACCGCCCCGGCTCTGGCCAGGGAGGGGAGGCCCTTGGCGCCGGGGGACCCCAGGGTCCAGGCTGGTCACGTCCCATCTGCCTGTCCCTCCCAGCAACCCTGCAAGCCCCTCTTCCCTCAAAGCTCCAGCTCCAGGAGTCCCATGATGGCTGGGCTGCCCCAACTCGTGCTGCTCAGACATGAGATGCCCTGCAGCCAGCAATGGGGGGGAGCACAGCACCGAAATGGGGGATGCCATTACCCCCAGCACAGGACCCCTGGGGTTTTGGGGGCAGAGGACTCACACCCTGAAGCCCCCAGGCAGAGAAAGCCCCACATCCAGTGCAGAACAGGGTGTCCTGTCCCACCCAGCGTCCCCAGAGCCCTGCCTGTCACCCATGGCTCATGGGGGGCTCACTTACCGGCTCATAGTTGACAGTAGGGGAGCAGGGGGTCACAGCCTGCAAGGAAGCAGAAAAAGGGCCAGGATTAGTCCCTGTAGCCCCCAGCCAAGCACAGGGCATGGGAATGGGCCAAGCTGCAGCATCCACCCCCTGCCCAGAGCAAACCCAGTGCCCACCCAAGGGGGTGACAGGGACACCCATGGCCCTGCCACCCTGAGCAGGAGCACAGGCAGCGTCCTGAGGTCAAGGCTGGGCTCCCTGGTATTGGGAGTGGGCTTGGGGCCACGGCAGCAGTGCCGCTGGTCCTCGGCCAGGGAGCCTGGGCAGCCCCAGCCCCGGGTGGGCACAGCGGGGCACGGCACGGCGTGGGGCGGCTGCCTGCTGCCAAGAGCAGCTCCTGGAACAAACCCCAGCCCGGCCTCGTGAGTGCTCCTGCAGCCGCCAACTGAACAGCCCAGCTATTGTTACCTTAATTACCAGCGGCAATTACTGACAATTAACCTTGGGTTTTGTGTGCACCCCAGTCCGCCGGGAAGCAGCAGCACGCCAGGGTGGGAGAGGCAGCGCCTTGTTTTTTGGTGCCGGGGGCAGCAGGAACAGCCGGTCCAGCCCTGCATTGGCCCCAAGATGCCAGCAGTAACGGGAGGGTGTGATTCGGGGCACCTCGTCCCCTCCAAACCCCAACATGTGACCCCCAGCCAGCCATCCCCTGCCCCGTCCCAGCATCGAGCCAATGTGCCAAACACCACTCAGGGGCTGGTCCCCCACCACGGCAGCACGGGGACCCCCCGCACCCCGCTCAGCCTCCCCTGCCCTGGGCCATAAAAAGCAGGATTTGCCCCAAGCACCCCAGTTGGAGCACCCGGATCCCACTCCATCCTGGTCCCCGCAGGATGATGCCCAGCGCCTGCTCCCTCCCCAGCCACTGGCCCGTTCCCATCCCGCCTCCCTGTTTTCATCGGGGGTTCCTCCTCCTCCCGCTCCCTTTCCCTGCGCATTATTATTATGATTTTATTCTAATGCAGAAACGCTTCCATAAAAGGCCCCTTTCCCTGCCCCGCGGCGCTGGCCCCACGCCAGCCTCCCTGGAATGTTCTCCGGCAGTGAGCCGCTGTTGACTGGGCCGGCGAGGGCCGCCCTGCATCCCGCACCGTGCCCCGCACACCGCCACACTCTTCCCCCCAGGATGCTCAACCAAGGGCCCCCGGCCCCCATCCAGTCCTAGATTCCCAGGCCGGTGATGGGGGGAGATGCTCAGCTGCTCCCTGCATTGGGACACGGTGGTCCCGCAGACAGGTAGGGTCTGTGCCCAACCCTCCTCTGCTGTCGGCACCAGGAGGTTTGCAGGCTACAAATGCTCCTTCAGCTGGAGGAGAAAACTGGGGTGCCCATGGTTGTAGTCCCCTCCCCTAGCGGATTCTTTGATGTCTAATATGGGCTTGTGCTCACCCAACACTGCTCCTCCCATCCACAGGACACACCAACTCAGACTGTATGGCACACTCTCATCCCAGAAAGGCAGTTTTACGAGGACTGCAGGAACGTAACGCTGTTTTCAGCTTCCATCCCTCTCTCAAGTTTGGCTCAAACATGCCCTGGGTTCAAGCAGAAGGGGGAAGACCCTGCCCCAGGCAGCAGACCCCTCCCTAGGAAAGCCGAGCTCCTGATCCAGGGCTGCAAGAGCATCCCTTCTGCCCCACGGGACCAGTGAGAGCATCACCCCACACCAGACCACGGCAACCCCCAGGACCACCGCCACCTCCGTCCCCAGGGACCCCCGCATTCCCCGGTGCAGAGAGGGGCAGGAAAGGCGGGGGGACCCACGCACCCCTGTTCCGGGCTTTGCCTCGCTGCGGCAGACACAGCGGCCTTTCTTCTCCCCCCTG